TCGGTGCCAGTCCCAGTCCCAGTCCCAGTCCCAGTCCCAGTCCCAGTCCCAGTCCCAGTCCCGGTCCCAGTCCCGGTCCCAGTCCCAGTCCCGGTCCCAGTCCCGGTCCCTCGCGGGTCGGGGCGGGGTCGGTGCCGGGGCCGAGCGGAGCCGGGCGGGCGCGGGGAGGGCTCAGGCGGCGGCGCCTGCGCGGGGCCATCGCGGCGCTCCGCGAAGTTCCGCGGGGCCCGGGGAAGTTTGGGCTCGGCTCGGCTCGGCCCCGGCCATGGCCTTCCGCCGGCGGGCCAAGAGCCACCCGCTCTTCAGCCAGGAGTTCCTCATCCACAACCACGCCGACATCGGCTTCTGCCTGGTGCTCAGCGTCCTCATCGCCCTCATGTTCGAGGTGAGCCCCCCCCGCCGCCGCCCCCCGCCTGCCTCACCGGGACCGGCCGGCTCTGTGTCCCCACCCCGCGGATGATGTGCCTCTCTCGGCTCCTCATGGGGTGTCCCCTCGGGGGCTGTCTCAGCTCGGGGGGTCCGCACCCGGCCAGGTGCCCCCATCCCACACGGGGAGGGGGCTGCGGGGTGCGGGACCCCTCGCTCTGGGGGTCAAAGCGCCGCGCCATTCATTCCCCATCTCTCACCCACCGCCGGAGAGGTGCACAAATTCCCWCAGGAATTCCCACGGGGACCCAGCCGGGTGCTGGCTTTGAGGGTGGCACATCCTCCTCCCCATCTCCAGCCCTTTCGGGGGTCCCTGTGTGGGGAAGGGGGAGCACAGGGGGTGTCAGATCCTCTCCTCCAAACCCACCGCAGCTCTCGGGATGTCCCGAGCCCTGAGGGGCGCGTCAGCCCCACACGGCGAGGAGCCGAGCCTTGGCTGATATCACCAGCTCCTGGAAATGGGGAGAATATTTTTTCGCCTTTTTTTCCTTTAACAATAGCCCTTTTCCAGGTGTTTTCTCCGTGGGACGGGCGCTGGGGGCTCCTGGGCCTGGGGCAGCCTCCCCGGCCTTTKCCCATCCCGGCCATCCCGCTGTGCYGCGGGCTGTGGGAAGGCATCCCCGCTCCTCCGTGGGGCACCTTCACCCTTCCAGGGTGGTCGGAGACCCCCGGCAGGGCCGCTGTCCCCCCACCACTGTGCCGGGAACGCCGCTCCGGCTCCTTCCCTCTGCTCCTGCTTTCCCTTTCCGTGTGGCTTCGCTTGGCTCCGGGCATCCCACGCCGAGGCACCGGGCCGTGGTCAGCGGCACCGCCGGCTGGGACCCCCCCGCCTCCGCCGCTGAACCCTCCCCTTCGGCAGTGCCACGTTTCAAAGCGAATCCGGATGGGAAAGGGGTGGCCGGGGGGCCTGGCGAGGGAGGAAAGGCTCCTTCTGCAGCAAATCGCGGGAGGAGGAAATCCATTTCCTTAATTCCTTCCCTCTGGAACCCCCTGCTTTTCTATCCTCTCTCTTTTTTTACTGCAAATTCATTGAATGAATGCGTCTCTTCCAGCACTCGAACCCCTTTCAATGTCCTTGGGCGTGTATATATATACATATATATATATTTATTTAAGGGTTCTGAAACCAACCCAGGAGGGCCAGCTGTATTCCGAAGCCATATGCAAATGCTGCAAAGTTGGGTTGCAAGTTTCATACTCGTACTGTAAAAGGTCACTGAGGYGGCATCTCTCTCTCAGGGCTTGTCCCTGCAGATGGTTTTGTTTGGGTTTTGGGAGCCCCATCCTGTAGAGGTGGCACCTGGGCTTGCTACTGTGATGGATTTTGGTTGATATAGTGCTGTGAGGGCACTTCTGAAACGTGGTGAGGGGAGGGGTTTGTGGTGTTTCTGGGGTTTTTAGTGTCTTTTAATTAAATCTTCCATGGATGCTGAAGGCAGCAGTTTGCTGCTGTTCCAGCAGACCTCAGGTGACAGTGCTTGCCATGCCATGGTGGCTTCCAGTGCTCCTTCTGCCCGGCAGCGTAATCCCTGTCTTCCCCTTAGCATGGGGTTTGGGACAGCTCTTGGTCCTTGTGGGTATTTTAGTTTATTTTATTCTTACATTTATTCCTTCTACTTCTTTTTTCCTCCCCTGGAGGCAAATTCAGCCTCTGCTCTTCCCCAGCCCCCCAAACGATCCGTCCCCATTTGTGCTGCCTCTCTGGTGAGTTTTGGTGGCAGATGTGAGCCCTTGCCATGGTGAGGAGGACATGTCACTGTCCCTTCTCTCATCCCTGCTTCCCACCCTATGACCAGGCTTCCACCTTCCCCGATGCCAGTGGCCACAGCCAAGCTCGGTCTCAACGGAAAAGGCCGAATCCTGATCACAATGGGCCGTTTCCTGCAGGGAAGGTTTTTTTGGGAAGACACAAATATGATTTTTAACCTTTTCCCAGGCATCCCTCAGGAGCCGAGTGCTTCCTCACTCAGGCACCTTGCTCGGGGTGATGCTGTGGGGCTGCCATGGGTCTCCCACTGCCCAAGCACAGCACGAGCTACTCCTTGAGCATCTTTTTGGGTGCACAACCTTTCTCCATCCATATGGATTCACCGACCTGGTAATTCCTCCATGGCAGGGAGCAGGTGCTGGTCATGATGGGATTTGGTGGCACGAGGCTGCTTCTTGGTGTTACAGGTGTGTTGGAATTGATTATTCCAGTGTTGTGTGTGTTTTTGAAGATCACTGCGTTGCTCTCTAGGGAGGAAGMCCCAGGCTTGGAGGGAATTTCCGCAAAAAGAGCTGTCCTGAACAGGGCACTRCAGAGTGGTTTTCCTTCCCAGCCAGCCCTAAACCTTCAGGGTATGAGAACACACCTGGTGTGCATCTGCCTGGTGCCAGAGAGGTATTTGCCACATGTGCCTGGTTACTGGAGCCCAGAAAGAAAGAAACTCTCCTTTTTTTTGGTGAAAGCTATTTTTGGTGACTCTCTATAGAAACGCGAAACAGGTGCTTCCCATCCTTGTACAGAAATCACTTTGCATATCTTTTTCCACCCTGCATGGCAGAAGAATGAAGCCAAGGCCAGGCTGGGTTTAAGCTGTGTCCCACCAGGGGTGGCTCCTATGAGTGGTGTTGGGTCAAGTTTGGGGCAGACTTCACTGATTTTGGCGAAGCTTCTACATTAGGTGGGGAAACTGAGGCTCAGTCACATGTGGGATGATAAAATAAAGTTATAAACCATTGTTTTATAAGGGATTCCATGCYCTGGCTGGGCTTTCCCCTGTGCACAGATCGTGGCTGTGAGTCACGGGCTCCCAAACTCTGGGTTGTGACACTGTCAGAAGAAGGCGGCTGACGAATGAGCTGCTATTTCCAGGCTTCCTGCTAAATATACTTTCCCCTTCCCGGTCCCCTCCGTAGTACTCTAAAAATTAAGGCCTTCCCATTGTTAATGAGGGAAAACAAAATGYGTTCCTGCCTCCTCCGGTCTTTGCCAGATGTGGGAACTGAGGCACACAGGCAGTGTAAGGGGTGAATAGCTGAGGAAGAGTGGAAAAAGGGGCAAAAAAACCAGTATTTATGTTTACTTTTTAAAAGGGAATAAACAGGAGGGAGTGAGAGGCAGTGGAAATCGTGTCATGCTGGGGGATGAGTTTGTCTGTGGGGGCAGAGGGGCTGCACCGCCCTTGGGAAGGGCTTTTTGTCAAAGCCWGATGTTTACTTTGAAAAGCTTTGGTCCAAAGTTTGGGCTTTAGTTTACATATAGGGCCTGTGTCAATCTATACTGTGGATCAGCAAGTTTGTCTTTCAGAAAACTCTGGCTAGTGGGGGAAAAAGAAACCCAAAGTTGTGAGACAAGCCTTTGGACARCATTTTATCTGTAATTAGTTTGAGTTGTTTTTCAAGCCCTGGAAATATTTTCCCGGCTCTTGACTGCAGAAACTCCCCCAGCCTCCCCTGCCAGAGGTTTGGAGCTGCTTCCTTCCTCCAGAGTGRCTTTAACTCAAGCAGGACCATGGGGATGTTTGTGATCCTGGGGCTCCTGGCTGGGGTGAAGACAAATCCCACTGGGATGAGGCWTTTGAGAAGGGAAATGGGTTTCATATAATTCCAGATTGGTTTGGGTAGGAAAGGACCTTAAAGCTCATCTCATTCCAACACTCTGCYATGGGCAGGRACATCTTCCACTAGACCAGATTGCTCAGAGCCCTGTCCAACCTGGCCTTGGATGTTTCCAGGGATGAGGAGTCTACAAATGATCCGGGCAAGCTGTTTCCATAGTTCCTAGAGTGCCCTGGGGATGGATGCTCAAAAATCATCCCTCATTCCTAAAAATATTACTGTTTGAAAGTTGCAGCAGATAGATTTTGCGAGAGGTACGAAACTGCCTGGATGTGTGTGCTTGGACACCTTTTTAAAAACCACTTGCTTGTCTGCATAAGTGGAGTTGGGATTTTGGTTTGGAGCGTTTCATGGCAGGGAAAAAAACATCTCCTAAAATCGCTGCATGGGGCTCACAGCAGCCTGATCTATGGAAGATGTCCCTGCCGTGGCAGGGGGCTGGAATATGATCTTTAAGGTCTCTTCCAACCCAAACCATTCTGTGATTCTAAAAAAGGATGGGGGGAGCTTGGCTGCTCTGCTCTCCAGGCTAGAAGGGGTGTGGATTTTTCCCCTCACCACACTATCACGGAGTAAATGCCTAGTGGTGGATTGTAAATGTTGGTAGTGCTGGGTTTGCTTGGCTTTATCTATTGGGCTGTGAGGTGGATGTGCTGATTCAATTTCTGGCCATGAGAAACAGCCACATCCCTGTCCTGGCTGATCCAGGCATCACTGGAAACTCTGGTCTTGACAGACAGACATGTTGAGTTTTGTTTCTTCACCATCCACCTGCATTTTGGTCTTGGGGTTGGTGGCTTTGTCCACCAAAAACCCACTTGGCTGCTGAGGATATGGTTCCTTCTGCATGGCTGTAGGGAGCTCCCAAGGAAAGCTGCTTCCCAAATCCACCTGGTTTGGGCACACAGAATCATGAGATCATTAAAGTAGGGAAAGCCCTCTAAGGTCATCGAGTCCAATCATCCACCAGCACCACCAAGGCCACCACCAACCCATGTCCCCAAGTGCCACATCCCTCATGTAAGGCAGGCTGGGATGAGGGGCACCTGGCTCTGCATAATGCAGGTCAGGGAGTGAATGAGGAATAAATACACAGCCTTTCCTACATGGTCCCTGCTCTTTGTGTCCCATGGGGACAAATCCCTCTCCCGCTCTCTAAAAGATTGTGCCTGGGGATTGTTAGGTTGGGTATGAGGAACAATTTCTTCASTGGAARGGTGGTCAGGCATTGGAACAGGCTGGAAGTGCTGGAGTCACCATCCCTGGAAGCGTTCAGAGAATTTGTAGATGYGGCACTTGCRGACAYGGTTTTGTGGTGGGCTTGGCAGTGCTGGGGGAGCRCTTRGATTCCATGATTTTAGAGGGATTTTCCAATCTGAATTATTCTATGATTTCATGGATTTTACTCCTGCCAGCAGCAGTTTAGTGGCAGCTYTGACTTTTCTCCCTTCCCTGCAGGGCAGGAGTATGCTTGGCACTTCCTTTCCCCTAGCAGCATCTTGTTTCAGAGCAAACAGACAGCGAGCCTTGTGCCTCTGAATAATCCTCACGTTGCTCTTCCCTCTCCAAACTTCTGCTTTCCCTGGCTGCCTRTGAAATGCTCAATGCAGGCTCTAARTCTTTGCCATCCCTGGTCCTCASCTCTCTTCCATGRGCCAAGGAAACCTGGGTTTTGCCTTGCAGGGGATCTGGAGGTGGTATTGCTGGAGATATGGCTCAGGTGTTCCCTGTTTTCCAGGAGGCTTAAGCTGGTGATTCTGGCTCCTCAGGGCTGTGTAGCAGGGGGTGGTGGTGTGGTGGATGGGATATTGGGAGGGTCATGGGGGTTTTTGGAGCTTGGTATTCACCTGATGGAACTCAGTTGTGATCTCAGTCCAGTCACCTGTCCCTTTGTGCCTRCTGGTAAGGGGCAGGTTGGGAGCAATGGTCTGATCACTCCCCAACCTATTGCAGGAGACAGAAATGCCTTTGGTGCCTGAGAGGAGAGATTTCCCTCCATGCAGATTCTGTGGGATGGGAAGGTTGGGTGCTTGGAGTTCTGATTTTGCCATGGTGGTGTTAGTGTGTGCCTGAGCTCCCCATCTGTCCCATGGAGCAGAGAGGCCATTTGTCCTTAGACATCAGTCTGTCAGGAGCCTGCCTGCGTCCAGGAGGTTACATTTATCTTCAGCTGCTATAATATTTTGCTCAGACTTCAGGAAACAACCTGCTACCCCTCTGTAAGGAAAGGTGGGGAAGTGCTGAGGTGGCTTCAGAGCTGCTGGTGGTCCTCCAGCCCACAGGAAGCAAAGGCAGGTGTGGAGATGTGACAAAGCATGGCTTGATGCTGGAATGGATGGAGGAAACCTTTGGGGAAAGAAGGAGAGTCTTTKCAAGCTGTGTTGTGGCTGAGCTGCRTGTGGGCATTGCTTCCCACCCCGCAGATACTCTGGGGTCACTTTCTTGGACTCTCAGCTCTGGCCTGTGTCCTCTGCAGCAGGTTAGGAGGCTTCACCTGGAGATGATGTCTTGTTCCCAGCTGTTTACAGCAATGGGTGTCAGCCAGGTGCTCGGGGAGCTGTAAATCCATCAGTGCCTGCTGCTGTTTGCACATCCATGACCCGGCCAACACCAGCTTCATGCCTTTGTTTCGTGCCCTGTGCCAACCTGTGGTGAGGTTTGGATGCAATTCCAGGTCCTGGATGTGCTGTGCAGCTCTGGGATGAAGCAACGTGACTTTCCCAGCCAGCAAAATCTGTGGGAGCCAGAAGTGTCTCCCTCAGCCAGCTTGAGGCCAGGCGATGCACTTTTTCCATTCCCACCCCAAACTCTGCCCGTGGTCTCCATCTCCTTCATCTACTCCTCCCCAAACAGAGCACAACATGTGGGATTTCCTTTTTTTTTTTTTWWKTGGAAAAACCAGTAAAATCCCCAAACATCATGAAAACACGCCGTGGAGTTTGCTGTCCCCAAGCCGGGGCTGCCTGCGCCGGTTGCTCAACGCTGCTGGTGGCAGGATGGGAACTTTGCAGCTTGGCAAAATCCTTCTGTCTCCCCCACAAGCTGTGGAGCAATTTCCAGCTGGGATTTTAGCAGCCTGTGGCTCTGAAGCAGCAGCAGCCATGTCTGTGTGACACGCAGCTCACCTCCATCGGCATTCGACAGGCACAGGATTTTTTGGGGCTGGTTGTGTTTGAGGGCAGGTGCTTGTGAAGCCTTGGAGGGTTGGCTGGGAGCCATTGGAAAGGGAAAATCTGGTGATCTGCTGCCAGTGTGGGGTTGGATGGGAAGAAGGCATATTTGGTGTTGGATGTCTGTGCACTGGATTTTGCTGTGGCCCCAGCTYGAGGGTGCTTTGGTCATGGAGGTGCAGTTTTGGGGCATCCTGTGGGGTGGGATGCTCTGCCCCATTCTCACAGACCCTTTTGCTTTATTTTAGGGAGAATCCCTACATAAATTCAAATTTCCTTGAATTAAAAGCAATYTAGTCACTGGGCATCTCTCTGGTGACCAGTGACAGGACCAGAGGGAATTGTTGGAGCTGTGTCAGGGAAGGTGTGGGTTGGATATCAGGAAAAGGTTCTCCCCCCAGAGGGTGCTGGGCACTGAAAAGGTTCCCCAGGGARAGGTCACAGCCCCAGGCCTGACAGAATTGAAGAAGGGTTTGGATAATGTTCCCAGGCACAGGGTGGGATTCTTGGGGTGTCCTGTGCTGGGCCAGGAGTTGGATTTCAATAGCCTTTTTGGTCCCTTCCTACTCAGGATATTCCATGATTCGATTCTTTGATTCAATAAATGAAGAGTGAGCAGCACAGCYCTGGGTTTCAGGTATCCTCTTGTCTCATCCCAGGCTTTTTTTTTCTCTTTTTGGCCATACATCTGGCATCTTGTGGGTGACCAGTACGAGGTTCAGTGTTTCTGCAAGTGAAGCTGGTTCCGGCACATCTTCCTGGATGATTTCCCTTTCCTGTTGTGGTAGGAAAAAATGGATCCAGAGGAATGGATTTAAGAACTGATTTGCTTTTTCTCTCCTCTATGTGTCTTTGACAGGTCACAGCCAAGACTGCCTTCCTGTTCATCTTACCTCAGTATAATGTTAGCGTGCCTACAGCAGGTGAGAGATGCCTCTGCTCCACAAATCCCAAGGGGAGGTTGAGTCTGCCCCAAACCCTCACTGCCAGCTGGCCTGAGCTCACCCTCTACTGATCAACTGCTCAGGGTTCTGCCTGCCAGTAAAAGAGATGTTAAAAATAAGATATTTTGGGAAGACGCAAAGTTTGAGTGGCTCAGAGTACTCTGGTCATGTCTGCCAGCCCTCATGCTGCTGGGATTGGGAAGAAATGCTGTCCAGGGGATTTTGGGATGCCTCTTTCACCAGGCCACTCTGTGCTCGCTGCAGAGTAAGGATCCTGCTCCAGGCCTGCTCAGGCAGGATCAAACTGTGTGATTGTCTGCCTGGAGCAGCTTCTTGTCCCCCCTGAGGAKCAGGAGGGATTTACCTCTTTGCTGTGCAGGTCGTCTCTGTCTTGCTAATTTTTGGGGGTGGCACCTGGAGAGGGTGTGGAGATGTGCCTGGTGCACAGCAGGTTCTGATTCACAGGGAGTCATTCCAGGAGGGTCTGAGCTGGTGCAGCTCTGAACCAAATGGACCAGAGGMGGTGTGGCAGCTCCCAGCCTGGAGGCTCAGCTCCTGTTCCTGTTTTGGCTGCTGGTTGCTGCCTTTCTGGCTCAGAGCTCCTCTGGGTCTGGCAGGGATCTGGGCACTGGCGTGGAGACAGCAGGAGGTGGTTTGGGTAAAGCCCTGGGCTCAGGATGAGCCAAACGCCCGGGGCACAGAGCCTGGCCTGGTGGCAGCAAACTGCAGTTAATTGGGAGCGTTTGAGTAATCATCCAGAGAAAGAGCAGGGCGTTGGGATTAGTGGAGCTGCAGCGAGGCAGACATGCGGAAGATAAAAGCTCTGCCCTTAAAAGCTTTGAATGTTATGGCTGAAGGAATCATGCAGCTTCCAGATTGAATTGTGGTCCYGGCTCCCCTGTGGCACAGTCCAGACAACTTCCACTGCTGCTTTTTAAGGGATTTATTCTTTCCTGRTAGCAGAAATCCCAAGGGGCACAGAAACGTCTCCCCAGGACCAGGTATTGGGGTATCAATATAGGGCATGGGCTAGTGGGGACAGAGACCTTGATGCAGCAGCTTGTTGGGAGGAATCTGAATTTTTCCAGGGCTCTTTCACATCCCTCACAACTTCTGCTAGAACATCTGAGAAGCCCTGGAGAGAGGAGGCAGAGCAGTTTCATGATATTATTTTCTTAGGACTAGCAGTTCTRTCTTGTACCTTGCTCTGGGATACAGGCACCATTTTTACCTCTGGGTCTGCACAGCACCAGGAGCTCCTAAGGACAGGGTATTTTCATATCCCTGTGCCAGGCGTTTTCATAAATCCTGTTCAAATCTTAGAAATCTGGAATGAGGCTTTGTTCAAGGGTAAACAGGGCTGGTGACAGAGCAGTCTCTCCCCAGTGCTGATACCAGGAGAGGATGGACAGGATCAGGGTGAGAGGGAGCAGCAGCCAGGGCTGGGCTGAGCTTCATGTGATGATTCTTCCTGCAGCATTCCCAGCTCTGCTGCTTCCCATGAGCTGCAGAGCGTCAAATAGTCGCCTAAATGCAGATGTCTGGGGTATTTTGGGTGCTGTTGGGTCTTCAGAAGAGCACGGCCTCCTGTGGGTCCTATTTCTCATCCACCAGCCCTGTGCTGCTGCCTCAGATCTCTGAATAGCCCAAGACATCTGCATTTAGGCAGCTGAATCCTGCTCCTGCATCTTTCAGGGGGMGTGGGAGATCATGAAGGAGTGTTGAATCATGACTGAGGGGGTRGAAATCCTATCCCAAGCCCTGGTGTTCCTAGTGGGGCATCCCTGATCCCATTACCTGCTCCAGCCTCCCATGTCTTCATCCCTCCAGGTGATAAATTCTCATCTCCAGAGCTGGAAACTTTGTGTCCCTCATGTCCCCTCCTTTGAGGTAACTGTTGGAGGGGAAGCCACCCACCTGTGCCATGAGCTGACCCTGGACAGAGCCCTTTTCTCCAGCCCTTGGCACAGTCACCACCTCACTCCAGTGTCCCCATCCAGTCTGCTCCCCACTGAGCCCTTGCCTGGAAATCCTTTGGGCCATGGGGTTCTGACCCACCCTTTGGTCTCTTTGCAGATGGGGAGCTGGTCCAGTATCACTATGGGCTGAAGGATCTGGTCACCATCCTCTTCTACATCTTCATCGCCATCATCCTGCATGCAGTGGTGCAGGAATACGCCCTGGACGTGAGCGCCAGTCCCTGTCTTGTATCCTCAAATCCCAGGGGGTGTGGTCCTGCTGCCCTTAAATGCTGTTCTGGGACTGGTTTGGGGGCTGAGGTGGTGATGGTCATCTCTGGAGATGGGATGAGGAGAAGAGAGAGGTGATGGTGGCTGATGTTTTCTTGTTCTTTTTTTCTCCCTCTGCTCCTCCCCAGAAAATCAACAGGCGTCTGCATCTCTCCAAGGTCAAACACAGCAAGTTCAATGAGTCAGGGCAGCTGGTTGCCTTCCACCTCACCTCTGTCATCTGGTGCTTGTACGTCGTRGTGACGGTAAGGCACGGGGTGGCTGGGATTTGGGTTCCCAGGGGCGAATTGTGGGTTCTGGAGCACAAAATCCCACTGGCAGCAGAATCCCCAGCCAGCTCCTGAGCCAAAACAGGCACATTTCAGGAAGTTAAGCTTTCAGCTGTKGTGGATATTTCCAGCCACAGAGTGAGGGCAGTTTTGAGAGATTCTTCTTCTGCATTGTATAAGGCACAGGCAAATGGGCTGTGAAATATTTTTGGAGCCGAGCCCCACAAATCCTGCCTGGCTCTGTCATCTCCATCCGCTGCTCCATCCAGCTGCTTCTCAGCTTCTTATTTTTCTCCTTATTTACATTCTGTGCCTTGAGGTTTCTGGGTGCCTTTTGCAGGGTTATGGGGCTGATGGTTAAATTTTTGGGCTCCCTCTTTGTGGTTCCTTCCTTTGCAAGCTGATGGTGAGGGAACCTATGAGAACAGGGAAAACCCATGGTGTTCCCTGGGTCCATTGGGGATGTGTCAACCCCAAACCACCGGGAGAAGAATTCAGGGGGAACCTGTCTCATTTTGGGGAGGAAGGGGGTCGGAAGAACTTGTGGTGTGGGAGAGATCTGACTCTTTTGGCAGCGTGGAGTGATGTTGCTTCTCTGCCTGCAGCCATTGGGGTCCAGCTGTGGTCTCCAGTGGTTCTGGGGATGGATCCTTGGGGCAGATCCCTTCCCTACTTCATAGGGTCCTGACAGCTTCTCTTAGAGATCCCCTTTTCCCATCAAAGCTAGTATTTCTAGAGATCTGCTGGCACTGCCTCTGCTCCACGGGGCTCTGTGGAAGGAAACTTTGGTAAAACAGTTGATGCTGCTGGTTTTGAGCTCCCCTTAGCCAGGGCCAGACCCACCTCTCAGCAGCTGCGGGGCTGGAGCCTTCTGTGTACTCCACGTGTGCACAGCAGGTCACCCTTGTGCTTGCCTGGCCTTCCCCAACAGAAAAAAAAGGACTTGAGATAGGCAGGGAATGGATGATGGTGACTTGGCAGGACAAATTTCCCATGCCAGCATCTCCTTGCAAAGCCCAGTGCAGCATCCATGTGGCAGGAGTGAGAAGGGAGTCCCATCCTGTAAGGCAAGAGGTGGAAAATGAAACTATCCAATTCGTATCCAGCTATTTTTGTTGGTGTTTTCTGTTCCCCTTTCTGTTCAGAGGCACTTCTGGTTGTTTTTAAGTGGTGCTGGGATTGGAAATGCTGGTGGGGAAGAAGCCTCCAGACCATGCACWCAGCTGCTTGAGCCCTGCTACAGGAATCTCACCCCTACTCTTCCAGAGCATTCCAAACCCCAAAATACCCTCTCCTGAATGTGGGACCCTCTGTGCAACTGAGCAGGCAGCCTTCAGCCCCCACACAAGGGGCYTGGTGAAATTCCAGAGGAGTTCTAGGGACCCGCAAAGGCAGAGCTCAGCCTTGGCCCTACAGGGAACTTTTTTTTCTGCAAGCTGTGACAGCGCTTGGGTGTCATCCCCAGTTCCTTGTTTCACTGTGCCACCACCCCACCCTCTCATGACTTGTTTTGTTCTGCTGAAGCCTTGCCTCTCTTTTCTTTTTCAGGAAGGATACATATCCAACCCCCGGAGTTTGTGGGAAAACTACCCGCATGTTTATCTTCCGTAAGCACTTGTGAGGGCAGTTCTGGGGCTGGCCACTTCCTTCCTTTCCACAGTTTTGCCTCCTGGGAACGGGGTGCTGACAGCACAGCACCCTCTGCATGCACCCTGCAGGAGAAATGGGGGATATCTCATGGGGAGGATGTTCCAGAGGGTTTCCTCCATGAGGAAGGCCCTGTGGRCTTGGTTACTCATCCTGGGTGTTTCCTGCATCACCTTGGGAAAGTCTCTTTGCTGTTCATTTTTTCACAGCAGAAATGTAGTGGGGCATGACCCTGYCTTCTTGGGTTTTTACAAAAGTGAGGTTTGCTGTGAGCATGGACACCACAGCACAAGCTTCTGGATAAATTCTGTGTGCAGCTCTCTCGGACCAAMAAATAATTTCAGCCCAGAAATAATTTCTCCTTAATCCCATGGCTCCAAAACARTGGAGGGATTGCCCAATACTGCCCTGGCACTTGGGTTCTTGGGGTCCTGCCATGGCCTGGGCTGGCTCATGTGGCTCCTCCCTGCGTTTCAGGTACCAGGTGAAGTTTTTCTACCTGTGCCAGCTGGCATACTGGCTGCACGCCCTGCCCGAGCTCTACTTCCAGAAAGTCCGCAAGGTGAGAGCCAGGTGGGGCTTCCACCGCTGAGTTTTGGGAGAGGGAGCTCTGGGAGAGGGCAGGTGGAGAGGGCTGAGAGGTTAATTTAGCTTTTSTGCCCCTGCCAGGAGGAGATTCCCCGGCAGCTGCGCTGCATCGCGCTCTACCTGCTGCACATCGCCGGTGCCTACCTGCTCAAGTGAGTCAGTCACCTGCCCCTGCATCCTTCCTGCACCAGGGATGGGGCTGGGCAGCTCCTTCTGCACTGGGAGTCACCTGGGAATCCTCAGTGGGYTGAGGGGCTTAGAGGGAATAAAGTGTTTCAGTGGAGAGCCACTTTTTACCTAGGCAGGTATATAGGACAAGGGGAATGGTTTTAAACTAAAAGAGGAGAGATTTGGATAATGGGAAAAATTGTTCTGTGTGAGGGTGGTGAGGCATTTGGCACAGGGTGCCCAGAGAAATTGTAGCTGCCCCTGGATCCCTGTAAGTGTCCAGGGCCAGGCTGGACAGAGTTTGGAGCAGCCTGGGACAGTGGAAGGTGTCCCTCCCCATGGCAGGGGGCTGGAACAAGATGTTTTTTAAAGTCCCTTCCCACCCGAATCATTCTCTGATAAAAAGCRGAGCAGCCTTGCCAGCTGTTAGGGTTTTGTGATGGATCCCAGCTSTGCTGCCGGTTTGGGCTGTGCTGATGGTTTGGGGACAGGGGTTTCCCCCATTGCAGTCCCTCTGCAGGGATTTCCCCCTCTGCTGCAGGAAGATTTGGCTTTGGGGCTGATGCTGCAGCTCATGGATGGCAGGGCAGAGGCTGTAGCTGGGTTTGAAGGCTGAAGGTTGAAGGATTAAGGTTGATCAGCCTGGTGATGCTTTTTTTTTCCTCTTCCCTCCCAGCTTAACCCGCCTGGGGCTGATCCTCCTGCTGTTGCAGTACTTGGCCGAGTTCTTCTTCCACATGGCGCGGCTGGTTTACTTCACAGACGAGAACAACGAGAAGCTGTAAGCAGGGGAGCTGTGAGCAGGGGAGCTGCCGGTGGCTCGCATCCTCCCCAGAGCCCAGGAGAGCCTGGATCTCGCTCCCACCTCCTGGCTCGGTGCTGGGGCAGCTCCTGCCCACCCCTCTGCTTGCCCTTCTGCAGGTTTAATGTCTGGGCTGTCGTGTTCGTGGTCACCAGGCTCTTCACCCTCACCTTGTACATCCTGGTCATCGGCTTTGGGCTGCCGCGGGTGGAGAGCCAGGCCCTGGATCCCGAGAGAGGGAAYTTCTTCAGCTTCCTCTTCAACAATATTCTCTTCAGGTAGGAATGTYTTCCTTGGCTGTGTTATCTCAGCATGGGTTTTGCTGAGTTTGGAAATCGTGGAATCCAATAATGGTTTGGGTTGGAAAGAACCATAAAGATCATCTTTTTCCAAATCCTGCTGTGGACATGGATACCATCACTAGACCAGGTTGCTTCAAGCTCCATCTCAATGGGATCTAGCCAGTGGGGATCTGATCTTGGTTCCATTTAAGGAAGGTCTTAGTGAGGTGAAGGGGGTGTGAAAGAAGCAAGGAGGGGCTTAAAGGCTGCAGAACTACAAAGGAGGGGAAAAACCAGCAAATAAAGTGCTAATCAAATGAAGATATAAAGTGCAAGTCTATCTTTAGGAAAGGCTTGCAAGCATTCCCTGCTGTATCTGTAAGTGCACTTACACAGATGTGTTCAAGGAAAAGGCATTTTCACTTCTGCTTGGACATATTGTGTTGCCTGTTGATGTGGGAAGCAGAGGGTGGGATGGGCTCCTCATGCCTTGCAGTCTCTCAAGGCTGGGAGCCTTTCTCACCCTTGCAGTGTCTCTGGGTTCAGTTCAGAATTTGCTAGGCCTGGTCATTCCCAAGCTTTTTGAAGCCATGGACTGCTGGCACACCTGAGGATTTGAGGGACATTCTTAGCTCCCTTCCACCTTTTAGATGTACAGATCATCCGGGGACATCGTACCTTGACTGAGCTGCGTTGTGGTTTGGGCATTGCTGGTTGTGATGATCCTGTTCATCCCTTCCTGCTCTAAAGTTGGAAGAATCAATGAGCACCTGAGGGCTTTATGGCAGAGGGAAAGTGGCTGCTCTGGGCTCAGGGTGGCAGCAAGCAGAGATGGTGTCTGGAGGGATGGATGACCCAGGGGGACCTCGGCCAGCAGCCCCGGTGTTGGGGGAAGGCCGGGCTGGGGGTGGCCTCGCTGCTGTGTTCTCAGCCTGCCTCTTCTCCGCCCCTGGCAGAATGAGTGTGCTGCTGTTGGTGTGCCTCTTCCAGGCCTCGGTGATGTGGCGCTTCATCCACTTCCAGCTGCGGCGCTGGAGGGAGTACTGGAATGAGCAGAGCAGTCGGAAGCGAGCCGCCGCCGCCGCTGCCGGCACCAAGCAGCAAACCAAGCCRCTCAAGAGGGACTCGGGTGAGTGCTGGCAGGGTGGCACCAGGGAGGCATCAGTCCTGTAGTTCAGGATCCTCCCAGCAGGTTCAGGATCCTCCCAGAAGGCTGTTCTCATCCACCCTGTGCAGGGTGTTCTCAGCAGTGTCCTGATGTCGTGGGGGGTTCCCCATGTATGTGGGCCTTGAGAGGATAAAGGGTTTGGCTTGTGCATGGGWCAAAGTTTCTATCTTCACAKAATCGTTTAGAAAAGCYCTCTGAGATCATAGAGTCCACCCTTTGCCCAAACACCACCTTGTCACCCAGCCCRGAGCACTGAGTGCCACATCCAGTTGTTCCTTGGACACCTCTCCAGGGGTGGTGACTCCATCATCTCCCTGAGCAGCCCATTCCAATGTTTAATCACCCTTTCTGTAAAGGAATTCCTTCTAATGTCCAGTCTGAACTTTCCTTGTAGCAGCTTGAGGCCGTTCCCTCTCCTCCTGTCCCTGTTCTCTGTGAGCAGAGCCCGACCCCTCCCTGGCTGCCCCCTCCCATCAGGGAGCTGTGCAGAGCCACAAGATCCCCCCCGAGCCTCCTTTTCTGCAGGTTAAACACCCCCAGCTCCCTCAGTACCCTCTAAACCCTTCACCAGCTCCATGTCCCTTTGTTGCCATCCCCAGGTTACCATGAAAACGGAGTGGTGAAAGCAGAGAATGGCACCTCACCTCGCACCAAGAAGCTGAAGTCTCCGTAGAAGCCAAGGGTTGTCTCCTGGGGAGGAGGGCGAGATACCAGGACTGAGCAGCCCCTCCTCCTGCTCCTCACGAGCGGCGCCTTGAGTGGCTCGGAATCATCTTCCCAAGGTGTCTCTCGCTCTCCTCCCTTCCTTTCTTGTTCTGGTGAACCGTTTGCAATAAAACCAAAAAGGCCCCTTTCCCATTCCCCCATCCCCCTTGTAGGAACCTTTTCCATCCCTCTTGGTTTTGCCTTCCTCTGATTGATCATAAACCAGCGTGCAATTTTTTTTTTCCYTTTCTATTTTAGTGTTCGGTTATGTTGGTTAATGGTAACAAATGTATCATAGATGGTTCCAAACAATCCTTTTTTCTCCTACAGCGTGTTCCTCCCCTCTCTTCATGGTGCTTCCCTGAGCCCCTGGGACAGGGCCACGACAGCTTGAAGGCACCAAATGTGTKTTATGGGAACAGGTTCCTGGGGTAATGTGCTGGGGCTGTGAGATCTGAGGCTCAGGGGTGCTCTCAGGTGAGATGGAGCTCATCTGGCCAGGATGGTGATGCTGCAAAGAGAAACCAGGGTCTGGATGAAGCTCATGGTGGACCTCTGGTTAACTGGGCTTTCTGACCCCTGGTTTTGAGAATTTTGGAGAGCTGGCCAGCAGAGAAGGGAGAGAGCTCCCCTCTTTGCATGCCCCAGCTGGGTTTTTCTTGGCTGCCCCATGGTTTTTCTGGGTCTCCCAGCCCCAAGAGCTGGGCCYAGGGCTCTGCAGCTCTCAGTGTTTTGTTATGGGGCAGCAGTATCCACGTGAATCCTTGAGTCCTGCCCAGCTCTGAGCACTGGCCTGGGTCCTGTCAGCCCAGCCCTTTGTCATCTTGCCTGTGCTTCATGGACCTGGTATTCTTGTGGCTCGTGGYCACATCCAGGTGACAAACCAGTTGCTGCAAAGGATTTCTGCATCATTGGGACTGTGCCCCTCGTGCTGTCACCTCAGCCTTCCGTGTCCCAACCATACCAGTCCAGCCGTGCCATCGGCAGCCACCAGCTTCACTCTTTGTTTCCAAAGGATACAGCACTTGTATCCACCCAAGGTGCTATCAAATCCAGGGTTTCTTCCAAAAATCCTAGCCCCTTCATCCTTTTCTGAGCTGTGAACGAGATGACAGGGAAGGAAGGGGAAGGAGGCCGGGGCTGCAAGGAGCAGCTTGCATTTTAGGAAAAGCCTGGCTTGTGATGCGTAGCTGTTGGCAGATGGAGTCGTCTCAAATCTACCTCAGAGGCCATCTGTTGCTGCAGACCACTTTTCYSTCTTGCTCCTGCCCGCTGCCACCTYCACGTGCTGGCAGGAGATTCCATGGAAAGCCAGATCCCACYGGCTGGATCCCTCGCTGMCTGCCGGGGAGCAGCATCTGCTTGSGGTTTCGTGGGTCAGTGCCATCTCGCTGGGCTTCTTTTTGGGGTGCCACACGCCWGGCCAGGTTTGGCAGGTGAGCAGCAGTGGCACCTCTGTCCCCATGCTGTCTTCTGGGGCGGTTCCTGAGCTGGGCTTTGCTGTTGGTGCCTCTTGTGCAGCRAAGTCGGCTGTAGCTTTAGTTCTGCTTTGCCACGGCAGGAACGGGGGACTCATGGGGTGTTCCCTTGGCTGGGTGAGGAGAGGGACACAGAGCTGGGGTGCTCTTCCCYGTGYAGCCCARGATTGACCCTTGGGTGCCCCCTGCTCAGCCCTTCGGGCAGCTGAACTCCGGCTCTCTCCGAGTGCAATTCCAGCTCCAGGCTGGTGCCGTTGTCCTTGGTGCCAGTCATGTTTTGAGGAATGGGTGACAGTTGATTTTCTGCACCTCTTTGAGTTGAGTTGGCTTTGTTTTCCTGTTTTTCTGGGTGTTTTTTGTCCTTTTCTCACCTTCTCCTTGTTRAGGAGGCACCGGAGGGAGAAAATGTGCAGGGACGTGAGGACAGTTGGTCACATTCCACTTGTTCCTCAATCCCCACAACCTTTGAGTGTCAAGTGAGAGGTGTTGGCAGGAGAGGGCTTTCCCCTTTTTCAGGGAGCTGGGGAAGGAGGCTGGAGCAGAGCCCTTGCTGGTACCCTGCCACTGCTCCTCGTAGCCCTGCTGGGTGGACGTTTTGGTTCAGAGGCAGCAGCAGAACCCAGAAAAGAGCTTTATGTTGGGGAGGGTATGGAAAAGGTCCAGTGTGAGAGGTTTTTCCTTTCTCCTGCCTCTTCCCATCCCCTGCCATCGACTGCCAGAGCCCTCCAGGAGTGACTKCTGGCCGGCACCTCCCCAGAGCTTCGGCCAGGTCTGTCCGCAGCGCCGATGCCTTGCAGCAGCCAAGCTGCTGACTCTGTTAACAGGTGACAATAGAGCCCCCCAAAAACCTGGCTGCTGAATGATTCCTCCTCCTGCCTGCTTGGCTTCAGGCAGCTTTTCCACTTGCACAATCCTGTCTGTTCCTACAATAGCTGATGTTGCTTTGTATCCCAAGTGCCTTATGTTGTAGGCTCTCTGCTCTATAGCAGTAGCTGAGCACCCTCCCTCATGTACAACATATGCTACATTTACATGGTTTTTAATTTTCTTTTTGACAGAGCTACCAGGAAAAGGGACATTTGTTTTTGAAGCGTTTCTTTCCACATGTTCTTTTTATGATTTTGTTTTTTTTAAACCTATAGATGATGGGGCTTGGTTTTTTTTTTTTGCCCACGCCTATATTTAGTCCTCAGAAATCCCCATCCTTCTGTTAGACCCAAACCTGGCAGGTCAGTTTCTTTTGAGCTGAGCCTGTGTAGTGAGGCAATATCCACTGTCACCCTGGAGGTTTGCAATCCCCTCTCCATCAGAGGGRCTGCCATGGGCTGCTCCTTTTTTCGTGTTGTAGTGCAAGCACAATCCCTGGGCTGCAAGCCCACAGTAACTGCTCCTGTGTCCGTGTCATTTCTCAGCAGATCCAGCCTTCTTTTCAGCCCAAAGAGCATTTTCTCAGAGTATTTTCCTTCCAAGCCCTTCTTGGTCAGTCTGTCCTTGGCCACTCTGCCTATGAAATGCCACGAGCTCACTTCCCTTTAGTGGATGCTCTTCTTGTGCCCCATCTTGTCAAGCCCTGTGTCATCTGCAGAAAGCATCACRGAATTGTTGGGTGAGGTTGGAAAAAACCTCCAAACTCATCAAAGCCCAGCCTTTAATCCAACACCAAAATCCAAGCCCCAGCAGGAGCTCTTGTCCATCACAGTGCAGAAGGTGATGGAGACTATCCAAAACTGCAGGTCTTTGCTTCCAGTGAGGGACAATTCCTCACACCCTTCCTGTGGGCTTGAGTAGTAGTCTRTGTCCTTTATACATCCAAAGGAGGTCAGGAATTGAGTAGCCTGTGGTTTTTAGGGTGAAATGTAGTGTTTTCTGTCCTAGCCTAGAAGAGCTGTGAAACGCCAGCACTAGTTCTTTCTTCTTGAATTAGATAGTTGGAGAATGGGCTTGGGAAGAGAAGGGGTGGAGGAAGAACAGATGTAGCATTTCACATACAGTTTTTGAGTTACTCTTACATTATGGGGCATTACAGTCGCATTTTGTCTTGTTGTTGTTGTTGTTTAGGWTTCTTTCTTACTSATCATGTTTGGGTTAGTAGTAGCCAAGTTCCAGTTCCCCTGTAGATCCCCTTACCCCCAACTCACTGTTTTAAAAGGAATTTTTGTTCAGCCTCCTGGTTGGAGGGATGAGGTGCCACTCTGGGATGTCTCTTCCTTGCCTCCAAGTGACTTTGGGAGCTTGGAGCTGTCCTGCCTTTGCTGCAGTGCCTGGGGGTTTACAGCAGCCTYGGGCTCCTGCCTTTGGCAGATGGACCCCAAATTGCATCAAACAGTGGATGGAGATAATGGGGTTTGATTTGCAGCCCTCCAGGAAGGATGAAAGGTTGGTTTAGTAGGTTTATGTCCAGCAGTGAAGTGTGTTTCTCCTCAGGGCTGTGTGTGGAGTTTTTSTGGAAAGAATGGCTGTTGGAAAAGCCAGGCAGAGGCGTGTAAATTTTCCTCAGAAATGTTGAACTCGACTGATCAAACTTCAGCAAAGGAACTCGAGGAAAATTTGTTCCATATTTATGCTTTTTAGTGCAAATTTCCTGGTTTTGAAGGGGGTGGGGGGAATTAACAGTCTCTGGTATTTTATCCTGTTTGTTTCATTCTTCCTGTCACTTCAGTTTTTGTATGGATTTTGTTTGTTGTTGTTCATTGTTCAATGACTTTTGTGATAAACACAGCAGAAGTATTTTTCTGAAATAAATAAATAAAAGGCATAGATTCTTCCAGTGTCGTTGTCCACTGGTGCTTTATTATTCCTGTGCTGTACATTTGGCTGCAGTGGGTTGTACTGGTCTCTCTCCTGCCACAGCAGACTGGTCTGTCCCCTTTGCARTATCCTATGTCCTTGTTTTCATGGAATCATGGAATGGTTTGGGTGGGAAGGGATCTTAAAGCCCATCTCATTCCACCCCTAGCCATGGGCAGGGACACCTTCCACTGTCCGAGGGTGCTCCAAGCCCTGTCCAGCCTGGCCTTGGGCACTTCCAGGGATCCAGGGGCAACCACAGCTTCTCTGGGCACCCTGTGCCAGGGTCTCCCCACCCTCACAGGGAAGATTTTTTCCCCCAATATTCAATCAAAATTTACTCTTTCAGTTTAAAGCCATTCCCCCTTGTCCTGTTACCCCAAGCCCTTTGCAGCTGGGGTTCATCTTGCCACGTTTCCCATGTCCACAGCATGGGCAGCTGCTCCAGAGTTCATTATTCRTGGCTGCTTTCATCAGAGGGAGTGGAGGATAAGGGTATTTGTAGCAGATGATTTATCTGATGTGGTTTAGGCACATATTTTTGGTGAGCTATATTGTATATTTTGTGCAGCTGGCCCCAGGGAAATGGCATCACTCGGCTGAGGGTTAGGTTACAGTTTTGTAGCATGTGCACAAAATAGTTTCTGACTTTCTRCAGCTCCAGTAATTTCATCTGCAAGTTCTTGGTCTCTTGAAATCTGAGGTGGAGCCCTGTAGAAATTCTTGTTCAGGGTGAGCAGCAGCACAAAACGGGCCCAGAAGGGAAGAGCAGTGACCTTTCCAAACAAGGGGAGACTGGAGGGAGCTGTCATGTGGAGGATCTCAGCTGTCTGAGGGGAAGTGGGAATCCACAGCACAAAAGCTGATTTAAAGCAGCGTTTTGTTCCAAAGAGCTTTGTTCTGTGTGTGCGTGACAGCTGCCTTTTGCAAGTGCTCCATGGCAACACCTGGCAGGTGTCACTTGGGGTGAGAAGGCTCCTGCCACGTTTACCTTTGTGGGGAGATGAATAAGATGAGTAATGTGACTCTGAGAGGAGCATGAGTGTCATAATTCCATTGCTATGCCAACTGCCTGTGTGCCCTTGTCCTTGGAGACCTGTCTGGTGAGATGACAGGTGGATCAGGTGGGTTTAGATGGCCCTAAACCCATTCTCCCATATTTTTGTTTTAAAATGCAGAGCTGCTGTCAGCAGATTTGTGTCCAGACCCCTGTTACCTCCAGATAACTGAACCCACCACCCTATTTTGAGTAGCCCCAGAATCACAATTTGTGGGTTCTCCCCACCCTTATTTTAATCCTTAATTATTCCAGCCACTCTATTGAAAACACACCTTTTAACACTTTAATAGCAAATACATTTTTATTGAAATTTTGATAACAAAACTGGCAGTCATCACTACTTGAATGTGAAAAGCCCATCTGTGAGAAGCCTGGAGTGGAAAGTTCCAGAGAGCTTTAGCTCTCTAAAGTACTGCACTAAAAGGTTATGAAAACTACAGAAGGGCCTGACTTTTGTTCTCTGAAAATTTTTTTCTTCTTTGAGTTTCATTTCAACATCCAGCAGTTGTGAGGTTGAGTTTGGTGGTAGCTAAAAGGGCAGGGAGAAGTTCGGAAGGGAAAAAAGTTAAAAGTGAGGGTGGAATCAGCTGAGGGGGTGAGAGTGAAGCAAGGGTGAAAAACCAGAACATCCTTTTTTGTAGTACAGTGTCTTCAAGTCACCAGAGAATTCAATTGCTGTYGTTCGGCTTCTGGGAAAAGATTACTTGGGAAAGCCAAAAGGAAGTCACGGTAGTTCACCTTGTCTTCTTCACAGGAACAGTAATCAATCAGCTGTGGGGACAAAAAACAGCAAACATCACAAAGAGTTGGAAAAAGCTGCAAAATCTGTGTTGTTTTTAGGGGAAAGTACCCACAAGTTCTTGTGTGATGGAGCAGGAGATTTTATTCCCCCATGTGAATTCCCCCACCTTGGTAGTCCTGAATCACAGGCAAACTTAGAATCTTGCAATCATTRAGGATGGAAAAGACTTGCAAGATGATCAAGTCCAACCTTTAGATCATCTAATCCAACTCCTTAAATGGTTGGACTCTATTTAAAGGTTGGACTTGATCTAAAGGTTCTAGTCCAACCTAGAAGGCCTATAGATGACATTAATCTTTGCAAGGAGAAGAATTAAAAGTGTTTGAGTTCAATCCTGATTTCCTTCTGGGCCTCACCAGAGTGGCAACAGAGCCACAAAAACACAAAGCATGGCCACAGACTGAGATGGGCCATAGGAAATCTTGCAGAAATCCCTGCCAAATTGGGGTGGGGGCAGTTTATGTGAACAGTTACTGTTCCCTGGTGTCACTTCGGTGTGTGCACATGGCATAAAGGGGAGACACAGATAATTGAGCTTGGTGACAGCCCGACTAATGAGCCAGTTCTGGTGTCCGTGCCTGACCCTGCATTGTGTTACAGAGCCGYAGCCTTTGTGTGCTTCAGGGGAAGAAAGAAGGCTTTTGTTTCTTTAATTGCATAACTAATCTCCTTCTGACACCCAGGGAGATGGAAAAGGTCTAATATCACAATTCCTTGAAAGGATTCTTCTTCCCCTTGTCGCCTGGAGACAGATTCACTGGGGTTTGCTCTGTGACTGACAGCTGTGCTCCTCTCCAAGCAGTGAACTCTCTGCCATATGTTTAATTTGCAGCCCTGCCACACTTCCTAAGGCTCTGGGAACACTAGGATTAAGATTTCAGGAGAGAAGATGGATGTTTTTAGTGCCTAGGTCCTAGATTTGGGCTCAAATGTRGGAGTTTAGCTTCAATTGTCACATGCTCTCCACATATTTTTAGGAATGTTATTTCTCTCCCATTCTCAGAGTGGAGTAGGGACTGTCACCACATGGTAAATTCCTCAGGGCAGAGTGAGCTCTGATGAATTCAGAAAAGCCCTGGGTGCTGSTCAGGGCCTTTATTCACCCTACATTCAAAGACACAAATCCTCTGCACCTTTCTAACCAYGACTGTGATGCTCACAGTTGGCTGCTTTAGAAAATTTTTTATTTTAGCAACGGAAATATTCCCTCTGCTTTTCAGATATCCTTAAACATGGAGCCTGCCTTTACTGGCCACTCATCTACCATCATGTGATGCTAAGGAAATATCCTTGTCAGTCATATTCCTGAAAGGATCCTCCTCCATCCTCACGGCAGGAATTTTTCTCTCTGTTTCACTCACATTTTCTGCTCTGCAGACTGTGATTTTATGTGCAGTTTGTTACTCATAGTGCCCAGCAAGTGTTAACCAAGGAGTTATTATTCTAATTCATTATTATTATTATTATTTTATTTTGGGAACAATACTTCGTTCTTAAACCTTCAATTCAGTTGCTGTTTAATCCAGAATGTCTCTAAGCTTTCCTAAGGCACAGTCCCTGAACACCTCAGTGTCACCCCTACTCAGTCCCAGCTGTGCTTAAGCCACCACAGACACTCCAAGCTCTGCAGGAGCCTGATCTCTATCACMATCTCTGATCCCTGTCATGATACACAACCTCTTCTACTCATCCAAGACCTGAACCACCAGGAATTTTTGCACACAACAGTGCAGCCAAACACGGGATGCAACCTGGATAACATTTCTTCCCTTTCCGTAGAGGACAGCAATTATTATCTCCTCTAAGACACAGACTTGGGCCAGTAGCTCAGAAGTTTTTCTAAACTGTGACTTTCATGCCCTTTTCTTGAGGTTGTTCCCCTTTATAGGTCAGAGCAGCTGGTTAGGGTTGGTTTTTAGAAGAGATCTTTCGGAAGAGCTATAGGAGGGGAATTCCACATGCACAGGACCCCTTCCATCTGACCTTTTTAAGAAGAATGGTGCTGGTCGGCACATGGAACCTGTCACAAATGTTTAAAAATGTTGTTTGATCCAGGAAGCCAGAGCCCTCCTTGTCAAAATGATGAAATGCCTCATGAAACTTCCTGGTGTTGAAGGGCTCCTGGAGCTTCAGCTCTTTCTGAACCTCCACAATTAAATCATCCAGGTCCTTCTTGGGGACRCCACTGCAGAAGAAAGGAATAACAGGATTTCATGTAAAAATTCATTCTGTAAGCTTTCAGTGACACTTGTGTGAACAAGGAGCATTTCTTTGTGTGCTCTATRGTGTTAGAAATTGTGGGAAACTCAAGTTGCAACCAAAGCCATGATATAACTGCCTCCAAACCATGTTTAGAGGTAACAGGATTGTTACTGGGTCACACAAACAGGGTCCAGACAGCTACAAAGGAGGATGTGGTCTAGGCTCTGACAGGCTGATAAGCAAAGAAGGAACAAATCCCAAAAAAAGACTCCACCAACCACCTTCTGAGCCTGCAACCATCCAGCAGCTCAAGATGGCAGCATCTATTACAGTGAGCTGATCCCTTTTGRAAAAGATGTGTTCCCCATTTCTGGGAGTGTTTACGGTCAGGATGGACAGGGTTTGGAGCAACCTGGTCTAGTGGAAGGTGTCCCTGCCCATGACAGGGGTTGGAATGAGACAATCTTTAAKGTCCTTCCAACCCAAGCCATTTTGTGATTCTTCTGAAAGTCCAAACACTTGAACTCAGGCTCGGTGCTGTGACCACTTGTCTGTCTGTGCTGCTGAGCCCGAGCTGTCCCATGAGGTTTTGGGGCCAGTAGCAGCCACAACATTTTACTGCACACACTTCACACCCTCTGTATGTGTCCAAACACAGCCTCTTGGAGCTGAACCAGCAGCAGAGCAGAAGGCTGGAGCCCTTAGCTGTCAACCCTGAATCTCATTTAGCCCCACYAGCCCATTCTTTGTAGCCTACCTGCTGACAGTCTCCACTTCCACCTTCTGTGGGCGCAAATGATCCCTTATGGATTGCAGTGTTGCTGCAGGGAAATTCTCTGCATGGTTCTCCAAATAATTAAGCACAAATGTATCAGCATCAGTGATGACAAACCTGTGGCCAAAAACTGGGGAAGAAGCATTAAAAAAGGAGTGTTACCTGTGTTTTAGCACAGATTAAAGTAATTTCTTCATCCAGGAGGGAGCCGGATTCCTCTCCTGTGGCTGGGCTCGGCTTTGAGCCAGCTCTGCTACTTGTTTCACTTCTTGATATAAGAATAATTTCACTGATTGCAGGGTTCAAACGCTGACAATAACAACGTTACATCAGTGCACACCAGCTGCTGTTCTGGAAACTCAAATGTGATGAGACCCAGAAGCAGCAGATCTTTAAAGTGAAGGAAGAGATATGCACCGTGCAATAATGACATATCAGAGCAGAGCATTATAAATCCGGGCTGGATTTTACCTTCAATTGTAGAACCGATGGTGAAGTCAGAGGGCTCATAGTATATGGGATTCTCTGGAGTGGACCCTGGCTTGGTAACTTTGGTCCTTTTTAAGTATTTGCCTCCACGGATGCCAGAGTTTCTGACTGGGGGCTCAAAAATGCTGACKGTGTCATCGGAGAGGAAATAAGAAAGGATGAAAATACGATTTTTGTCCTCAGGCACTGGTGATTCCTAGAGGAAAGGCAGTRGGTTTGGAACAGAGCATTTGAACCAGGTTTTCCTTTCCTGAGGTGCTTAGGAGTACCTAGTAATTTACTCACAAGCACCTGGAGCTCAGAGCTTTTTTTATAGCTGACTAAACAAAGCACTTGGTGTGCCGACGTAATGTAACAAAGCCCTAGACAGCACTAAGGATCTGAATTTCAAAGGTTATTTGCTTTACTCAAGCCACGGAAGCAGAATCTGGGCTGAAGTTACCAAGAATATTCAGTGTTTCCACAGCCTGAGTAATCCAAGAGAAAGGAATATCCTATATGGAATGATTCATCCCAGAGAGGCTGTAAAATTCAGATATAAGGTTACATTTTTCATTATTCTGAGTGCCTGAGAGAGGTTGGTGCTGCTTCAGCTCTTAGTCACAGGAAGTTACTCCCCTGACACATCAGTGGGTTTACTTGCTTAGCTTAAAGTTAAGTGGATCTTAACTCCTCAGCTATGACCTTTAGGGAACTCCTGCACAATAGGGAAAAGAAACCAGCCCTTATTCAGCCAGAGTGTTTGGAGAGGGCAGGCAYCAGCCAGCACAGGAAATGCCATCGCTGCTGCTGGACGTGCCAGAGGCTGCTTGCATAAACCAGCTGCAAAGCTGGCACAAAGGCCAGGGCCTGGGTGCTCTTGTGGGTGGAAAACACCATTCTCGTGGATTTTCCAGCTTCTACACTGGCATTTGGCTGCTCTGCTAGGACAGCTCCTTGCTGGCTGCTGCATCCAGGACTAGCCTGGAGAAGGACAAGTGCTGGAGCCAAGCTCTGGCTGGTGGCAGTGGTGTCAGGAAGGCAGAGGCACAATGCCCAGTGCAGGCTGTTTCAGTCAGGGCCATCTGTCACGTGCTGATGGCAGAGGGAGTTTTTCCATAAATGGCTGTGGGTTTGTAGCAGGTCTGGTTTGTACTTTCTGGACTTTTTTTTTTTTCTAGTTTTGCGAGCTGCCAATTGTCACAGCAAGCACACAATAACCCCACAGCATCCCCTTGGGGACACTCATGTTGGCTCAGGGTATTCTCCTTTCCCACTGGCACAAAGGAGAATTTGCCAACAGCCTTGTCTGGGCAGGCTGCTCCTCCCAGGAGGAGAAGGAATTCAGGAGGTATCAGGGCTCTTGGGAGAATTAGAGGGTGTCCTGAGGGAACAGAATGTTCCCTTGGCATGGGTTCAGGGGGTAACATCCCTTTGGAGGAACTGTCTCCCCCTTCTACTCTGCTCCTGGCATTGTTCCACCAAGGAAAGCACTTACCARGGCCATCTGGTACCGGAGGACTTTGAGGTTATTCTCCAGCATCTTAATAATATTTTTGCGTGGAGGCTTTGGAACCAGACTAAGGCAGTTCTGGAGAGAGTCTTCAGGGACGCCAAAACCATTATGGGGAGGAATTACCTGCATCCAGAGGAGATACCAATCATAAACAGCTGAAACTAAGAATAAGACAAAGTTTACAAGAGCGTTTATCAAAACTCATCAGATTTGCAAGGAAATATTCTGCCACCAGGTAGCAAGAGTTGTGACATCCTGCCCAGTAGAGATGATACCAGCCTGGCCATGTGTTGTACTTAATGAAAAAAATAAGAGGATTAAGAAAATTTGAAACTCAGAAAGCCAGGTAATTTCTCTGAATAAAGAGGTTGTGGCTATATTAATGAATCATAGAGTGGTTTGGGTTGAAAAGGGCCATAAAATCATCCCGTTCCAACTGTACCTTCCTATGCACAGGAACTCAGCTATCTCTGTGGTTACACTGGTAACCTAATTCTCATCATGCCTGTGGTCTAGGCCAACTCACACTCCAAAACATTCCTAGGCTCACTTTGGGAGGTAAGAAGGGCTGTGACCATCCCCAGTAAGACAACACTTGGCAACACCATTTTGGAGAGTGAGGGAGAGTTCTGTAGTATGAGTGCAGCCAGGCTTCCATTCTTATATGGATTATGACCATTCTTGCCTTGTCTTTTTCAAATTACTTTTTTTTTTCTTTAATCTGAACTTACTTTCTACGGGTTCTTACTAAGCTGAACCTCAGCTTTACTATAAGAGCTTACACCAACTGCTTCCTTTCCTCCCTTCTTTTGAGAAATTGCTTGCAGTACCTGTACAACTTTTTTAGCTGGTTTCTTATGTACATCCAGTGGCTGGAAGTCTGTGACACCATATTTTTCACGATAGAAGTCCTGTGTGAACTTGTCACAATCGTAGATTAAGAAGGTTCGTCCAAGGAGGGTGAGAGTTTTGCCAATACCAAAATCTTTAGGTGAGTACCACTCTTTTACCTCGTGGTCAGTGATTTCCAGCACACAGCTTGGGAAGTTCTCTAAGGACAAGGGAGCAGAAGGGAAAATAAATTAATCAGGTAGATGTTAACATTTTCTAGTGAAAAGGGATATAAAAGCAAGCTGCATAAATAGCTCCAGAGAGATGTTGGCACTGCTGTCCTGCCACAGTTTCCCCAATGAGAAAGAATTTAGTGATCATTTAAAGAAGTTTGGTTTTGACCATGAAATAATGACACTTTAGCAGAGACAGATGTGCCTGTCTGAACTTACTGTTCTTGTCCTCAAAGACTTTGGGCAAGCGTTGGCGTTTCATCAGTATCGGGAATGGGTCTCTCCCATCATTTCTCCTGTGAACCTCCCGAACCTCCACTGTGTCATCTGCCAAGAAGTAATGGATGATGCAAGGATGGTGATCACCAAAGGGACAGTTGGTGTCATCCCATATGGCATAGAAGCGAAGCACCTGAGGTGGAGAACAAACAAGKGGACAAACATAGATCACAATCATCTTTTGATACCACAGAAATCAAACTCATCACACTGAGATACTTCTGAGGTCCCCAGGGTTCAGGTCCTGAAGAGGCAGGATAAACACAGGGAGAATTCAGTCAAAGAAAGGGGCATTTGTGTTTGTCTGAAATGGTCTGCTCTGACACCTGGCATCAGTATTTTGAGGGAGGAAAGGAGTGGATGCAGCAAGACTATTCCTAATAAAACTGCATCTGGCTGCTAAAWTCCACAGACAGGTGGCTTATCTCATCCCAACAGAAAGCAAGAGAATAATGGATGATATTGAACACAGGCTCTGCACTCCAAAGAGGAGCTGTTTACAAGGCACAAAGCCCAGAAAAAAAAAATAAAAGGTTTTATTTCTTGCTAAAGCCAAGAAAGGAGCAAATCTGGAGTCTGTTCAGTAAACTGAGACATTTTGGAATGAGTGAAGTCGTAGATACTCACAAGAACTRGATTTGGTTTCAATAGCACTTTTTTACTGTTATCACAGAATCTTTTAGATTGGAAGATCATTAAGTCCAATCTCTGACTGACCCCCACCTTGTCACCCAGCCCAGAGCACTGAATGTCACATCCCGTGGTTCCTTAGACACCTCCAGGGATGACAACTCCAYCAMCTCCCTAGGACAGCCTGTTCCAATATCTAATCACTTTTTCTGTGAAGAAATCATTCCTAATGTCCAACCTAAACCTCCCCTCACACAGTTTGAGGCCATTTCCTCTTGTCCTTTTGCTGGTTGCCTGGGAGCAGAGCCTGACTCTCYCCYGGCTGCACCCTCCTGTCASGGAGYTGTGGAGAGCCAGGTCTCCMYTAAGGTTTTTCTGCAGGCTGAGCCCCATYCCAGCTCCCTCAGCAGCTCCTGGTGCTCCAGCCCTTTGCCCAGCTCTGTTCTCTTCTCTGRATCCACTCCAGACCCTCATGATCTCCCTTAAATTGAAGGCCCCACAACAGGACACGGGAGTGGAGGTGCCATTATACAATAATCTGGGTAATTCCCAGCTCTCACCTTTGTGTCATAGGCCAGAAACTGCCTGAAGGGGTCAGGACTTGCAGGCACCATGGGTTTTTGCACTGGTGTTCGGTGCTGTTCTGTGTAAGGATCCAAAACCATTTCCTCTTCAGGGTTCACTACAATTCCTTGGCTCTCCAGGAACACCTAGGAAAGTCATCTGAGGTGTTAGTGCTGCCAGGGGTTCTGAAGGTAACAGGTGACTAGAGGTTACAGGTGGGCTGATATAAATGAGGTCAGAATTCTGCAAGTTCTTTCCTCACAGAGAACTCTACTGCAACAGCAAAATACAACAGATGATGAAGACATTTGCTTAAGCTGCTTCTTAGCTTTGCTTACCCTTTAATTAATCAGAACATCCTAACTCATCTCRACATCCTAGCTCAGATTTCACCTGAGCACAGTTCTCCTTGGCCTTAGGGCTTTAAATGGAAGGTAAGTGTCACCTGGTCTCTTTTATGTAAATTAAAAATATTAAATTGGTGTATAAACACAGATGTAGTCAGCCTGAATTTGCAAGAGACTTAGGGCTGTGTCAGAGAGTAAGTTAGTGTCACCCACACTTCAGACCCTTCAGGCACAAGAATATGTGTCAGTGGCAGCTTCACTCCATCTTTCAGGTGTACTTTTCCCACAGAAAGAGTGCAATCTGCTTGTTTATAAAGGGATTTTTTGCTTACCTTGGATCATGAACAAACTCCAGGGTGTTACTTGTGGACTTGTATCAGCCACCCAAAACAACCTCTGAAGTCAACAGACTTGTTCCCTTTCTGGCTTTGGGAAATGACCCATGAAAATATTCAGCCCAGGAAGCACCTATACAAATATCTCCCACAGGAATATGAGATCCCCCTGAYGACTCACAAGGCAGGTTCACACTTTCAGACTCACTATTGTCTGGTCTGGAAGATGTCACTAAGTGATAAATAGATTATTGGCCTTAAGATGTAGACCCAGGTAGCTCATTCCATGTTTTCCATCAATATTGACATGAGGATCAGCTCTTTGTTGGATGTGAACTGACTTTCACAGTCAACCAGTTCCAGCAGAGCTGGCCCCACAGCTACATTTATACCAATACATTACACATGCTTGGAAACATTCCTGGGCACTGAGGCCAACAGGCAAGGWAAAGCCTGGATCCAAACTCTCCCAGCCTCCAGCACAGCCAGACTGCATGTAACTCACCTACAGGGAATGGTTCCCTGGCCTGGAAAAATAGTAGCTGCCCAGGGCTGAGATTTTAGTGGGGACAAACTAGCAGGATACCAGTGTACTGGTAATTCTTATTTCTTGTTATTGGATCGTTATTATCTCATTTACTGGAACAAAAATAGCCAGAAATAGAAAAGCAGACCATGAGTAAGCTCTCTTAGAAAGGTCAGTTCATACCATGATTCTCAACACATGGATCATGGCTTGGCTGTGGATGTGTGCAGAGYTACTGATTGTCTTCTCTTCCACTGTTCTTAACAGAGGAATTTAAATCAGAAAAGAGTCAGGATCACKGATATCCCTTTCATGTATGCACAATGTTTCATGTGGACTCCAAGCAGCTCAATTGCCCAGACATGAACTTAGAATTTGTATTGTARGAAGTCTRGAGGAAAAAGGATGGASTTGCAGCAGTCCTAGAGCAAAAAYACTAAGCAGTTAATTATCCTTCAGCAAACATGATACCCTGAACTCCTCTTTGGCYTGAAGAAAGAAACCTACACAAARAGCAAAATGAAAGACTGCGAGCACCCATATCATGAAAGCTACAGCTGCAAACTACTGGACTCTAACAGAGAATTAAAATCCTATAAATCCTGTAATTCCCAGGATTCTCTCTTTTGGTGTTCTCCCTACACACACCTTGGTGAAGGCATCACAGTTGACCAGGCGGTAGGTCCGGCCGTATATGTGGAGGTCAATGCCCAGGTTCAGATCCTTCCAGTGGTAAAAATCGCCCTGATCGTTTTTGGGCACCCGGTGGCGTTTCATGAGTTTGCCTTGAACCAGACCTGAGTTCTTCACCACAGGCTCGATRATACACATGCTGTCATCCTCCAGGTAGTAGTAGATGCCCACGTGGCGGATCCGGTAATTCTCCACTGGAGAGATAGAAACTTCCTCCATGAAGTAGGCATCAAACTTCAAAACCTGCCCAAGGGACAATATAACAAAGGGAGAGAGAAAGAAACAATTCAAACACCATGAAGGCAATAATTTACTTGTAATTTGCTTTGGGGAAATAAAGTTACAGGGCTAGATTCTACAAAATCTTCAAGGACCACTTTAGTCTAATCTGTGAATGATGGCAGAGGCATCGGGAGGGCTTTTATCAAGATGTGCCTTTTGCAAATCTGGCGTGAATGAGACAAGCATAAAAATACAGCCTTTTTCCTACTTCTTGATCACCTGCTGTTTCATGTACTGCCAGGTGTTTGGCTGCTGACAGTAATCTACTTTACTGATATGCAAGCTCTCTATTCGTCAGTTTTACAGCCCTTGATCTAGGGAAGTTACCAACAGATTTTAGTAGAGTTTAACCACATCTGAAGATTTTAAAATCTGAATGGGTCATCATTTTAAGGTCAGACTGAAGAGACTCAGAGCAACCTGGTCTGGTGGAAGCTGTCCCTGCCCATGCCAGGGGAGTTGGAACAAGACGATCTTTAAGTTCCTTTCCAACCCAAACCACTCCATGATCTGAAGTCACATCTATTCAGCACTGACAGCGAAACCTGATCTGTGCCAGGAAAAAAAAGGAAACTAATCAGCCAGTCCCTCTGCTTGGCAGRAGTAGGAGGAATATTCCCTCTGAGATCATTCAATGCCCCTAAGAAGGTGTAGGTGGCCAATCAGGCCTTGCATTCCCAGCCTACATCAGCYCAAGGGCATGGATGATTAAGGGATGATAAAGCCAACAAGTTGCTACCAGTCAGCAAAGTGCCCCACAAGGGACTGTGACATCCTCAGCAGCACTGGGGTCCCTGCTGCTCCTGTGGCTTGAAGGAAGGGGTAGAGAAGGATCTGACAGATTAAACAGCAGCATCTACATTACTGTGAAGGAACAGCCTCAGTAATTAACAGAGCACATCTGTTGCCCAGCCTGTGTCCCAGTTGGGCTGAGGGCTGGCTGGCTGTAGACTGCTCTTCAGGGCTGGCAGCGTGCAGAGCCTGCACGTGCTGAGCTCCAGAGGCAGCGGCTGCTCCATCCACAGCTGCGGTTTGCAATCGGGGACATTGGCACACTGAAAACCAAGGGTCAGCTCAGGACTGCTCCGAGCAGACACAGAACCACCTCCTAATCTGATATGATCACCAAGATGTAACATGGGAAGCACTAATGTTCAGCCTGTAACACGCTGTGGTGACCAACACAAGCATAAATAGAGAGACCACAGTCAAACAGGCTACCAGGGCTCCCACTGCAGACTGACTTTTCCAGTTAAAGCTCAGCAACAACCTCAATATAGTTTTGGAAACACAAAACACCAGGCTGTGGCTTGCAGAGCAATACTTATAAACTGCAGTTTTCCAGAGCTAAGCAAACCTCTCTTCCAACATCTGCTGGAAATGCTCGAGTGTAACTTGCAGGGAATGTCTTACATCGTTTACGTGCTATAATCCCCCTCCCGAGCAAAGAAAGCCTCTTTCAGTCTGGGATTCAGCTGTCTCTGACTAAGGGCTCTGGCATCTGAAAACTGCTSTATGCAGTCCCGTGAACCCTGACTGTTTATGTCTCCGAATTTGGCCAGTGATATTCCTGGAATCAGCTTCTTTATACCTTTTTGTCATACTCCACGAATGCTGGAGTGAAGCGGGAAGGTGCAGACCTCTTGACTTGCCCATAGGTCAGCGTGKTTCTCTTGGTGCATAAATCATCTAATTCATCTTGAGAGAGCTGATTTGCAAAGAGTGTGTCCCCGCCAATCCCCTCCCTTGGCAGCCTGGAAAAGGCATATCCATTTTTGAAGTCCAGTGTCTGAGACCGATGAAAAGATGTTTTCTGTGGAAGGAAATCCAGCTATTAAAATACTGCATGAATTKAGTAGATACAGCTACTGAAAACACAAAAAACTAGTAAAAGAGTGCAGCATCAAGAATGTCTCCCCCCACACATATCCCCAGCATTTTACTATAAACTACTGCAGCAGTTATTTAAAATCAGATCTTGCATTTAGATCGAGGAAGTGGAAAAAACCGTGAGTGGTGGATGTAGAAAGCATGAGAGTGAGCTCAGATCCCAGCATTGCCACAGACTCCGGAAGAACTTAAATCACTGAATTTCCTGATTGCCACCATACTCAATGCCTAGAATGGTGCGTCAGCACTTTATCTGCACTAGTATTTATCTCASCAGCTCTTTGTTCCCTACCCTATCTGTCAGCAAGTACAGAGCACCATGGGACCTCAGTTACAGCCTCATGGTACAGCTCCCTTGATTGCTGTGCACCCTCTGTGTATTCCATTGCTGTTTATTTTCTCAAACCTCTCCTGGGCATGATACAGGATTTTTTTTGATGGGTTAAATCAAGGCGTATCATGCTCACAGAACTGCAATTATGAAACGTACCAAAGCACATTAGTAGTTTTATCACCTCTCTACACAGTCAGTTTGGGTTGRAAGGGTCCTTGAAGATCATCTTGTTCCACCCCYTGCTAAGGGCAGGGACAACTTCCACTATCCCAGGTTGCTCCAAGCCCCATCCAAACCTTGCCTTGGACACTTCCAGGGATGGAACAGCCACAGCTTCTCTAGGAAACCTTTGCCAGGGCCTCAMCATCCTCTTTGTAAAAACTTCTTCCCAACATGTAATCTAAATTACCCTCTCCCAGCTTAAAAATATCATCCCTTGTCCTGTTGCTACAGGGCAGGCTAAAAAGCTTGTTCCATCTTCCATGAAGCCCCKTTAGGCACTGGAAGCCCCTTTAGGCACTGGAAAGGGGCTCAGAGGTCTCCCTGGAGCCTTTTCTTCTCCAGGTGAACACCCCCAGCTCTCCCAGCCTGGGCTCCAGAGCAGAGRGGCTCCTCTGGAYTTGCTCCAGCAGCTCCATGTCMTCCTTATGTTGGAGCCCAGATCTGAAGATTTCTGCAGATGGGGTCTCACCTGAGTGGGGCTGAATCCCCCCTTCCCCTGCTGCCCAYGCTGGGGGATCAGCCCAAGGCAAGGGGATTTTTTGGGTCCCAGCCTCTCTACTGTCAGCAGTCCCAAGTGCTTCTCCCCAGAGCTGCTCTCAGAGCTGTGAACAGGAGCTGATTTCTGTCAAACAGTCCCATTCTGCACTACTGAAGAGCAGGGTCACACTTGGGTGACATCAAACCACTCCACTTGCTGCACACTCCACCACACGTGGTACCTCACCTGCACTCTGAGAGCCTGCCTGGTCCCACTGGGCTTTCAACACTTAATGCTCCAGAGAAAACAGGGGAAATTATGAGTCCTTGATAATAAAACCTCTTGACTTTTGCCAAGTAAAACAGAGTTGTATGCATTTCTCGTGCTGAGAGAGCAAGCTCCAGCTCCTTTTCCAGCCCCAGACTTCCAGTCAGTCTAACCTCAGGCATGCAAACTTGTTCTTCTCCACCCCCTCCCTTGCCCCTTATGGTTAAGCYTCTAATCTTATTTATACCTTCAAGGCCCCACTTGAATTCCACATTATTCCCTGTTTTCTCTTTRAACTGCTACTACAGATCTTGCAATGGAGAGAACAGTGAGGAAAACAGGTGAAAATAAGMGTTGACTCAAGACATGTTACCAGAACATCTTGTAAACTGCCRCAGAACTGCCACTTCCTTCTGTTAAATAAATACCAAGGGAAAGCTGTGGGAAAAATATTCAAGGAAAACCAGGAAATTAGTCTCTAATTTGTGCCATATCAGTGTTTGTTAGAAGTGTACAGGCTTTTAAGASCCCACATTTGCCTAAAGAAAGCACCTCATAGATTCATAAGGCCCCTGAGTGGATAAACTCTCCCAAAAGTGAGCCTGCATGCCAGGTAACATCTCACAGGATCAGGTGACTAATGCAAATTTAAAAGGGAAAGCCCAGAATGTAAACTTCTAATCTCAGTTGCTGCCAGTGTTTAYCTGAAGAAATTCCACTGAATTAAGTCTTTTTTTTTGCCAAGTCTGTAACACTTCACACAAACACCATTCCCTCTCCCAGTGGCTGTGTTTCTCTATCCCATGAATACTAAACAATAATAGCACTTTGTTTGAACACAAAGGTTTCCTTTAGGACTCCTCAGTATTTACTCTGAAACTAAGCATAGTGATGCCCATTTGATAGACTGGAAAATTGCAGATTTTCAAGATGTTATGAATGATTTCAATGAAATATTATCTGACAATAATTCTGAGATAACCTTTATTACTGGATGAATATTTGTTATGAATAATCTACTCCACTTACTACTGGAGAACTCAGTCATCACTGACTGAGGCCRGGTTGGATGGGCTTGGRGSYTATGAAAGGTGTCCCTRCTCATGGCAGGGGRTTGGAACAAAATGGTCTTTAAGGTCCCTTCCAACCCAAACYACTCCATGATTCTATGACAAGTAATTTTCATATGCAAAGCTGAATGCAGGCAGGAATGTTTTCTGTTAAAGATGGTCTCCAGAGAGGCTGCAAATCCCTGGTGTGCCCAAACCAGGCATGAAACAACCCCCTTTTTGGCTTTTTTTGTGGCTTTTTTTTTTAGTATATCAGAGAAATAAATGGAAGCATCAGTTCTCTGTGGCACCACTTCTTCAAAAGGACCTTGGGAGGATTTGGGGTCAATTTGCCAATGAAATTGATGACTTAAAGGTGTATCTATCTAATAAATTACATCCAGAAAATAATTCTATTGGGATTATTTGGGGGATTAATTCCTAGWGGAGGACTGTTCAAGGTTTGGTCAATGTTGGGTATAACTAGTTGAGGATATCAGGTGAATTTAAGGATCCTGGTTCAGGACAGTATCAGTACGAGTGGAATGTTCAGAACACATACACATTCCTTTGGAAAAACTGGGATGGTTCCAAGAAACAGCAGTTTTCCTGAGGAAATCAGATTTCAGGACTGTAGAYCAAGTTTGGAGATTTCCCATGGGGTATCTCATGAGCTGATGGGGTAATTATTGGATGGATTCAGAGGGCCTGGATATCCAAGGGGTGAGTTTGCAGATGGTAGTTCTGCAGTTATKGAAAAAGCTGTTGGAATTTAAAATGATGCTCACAAATGAGGGGGAGGAGGGTGTGTGTGTCTCTCTCCAAAGCCATCAGGACAAATTCACGGTTATAAGATGGGTACACAATGCAATGGGTTCCTTGGGGAGAATATTAAAAGCACCAAGTCCCCTGGAAAGCTGGTTCAGGGATACTTGGTCCCTTGGTAACAAAATTCCAATTACACTGGAAGAATTTAGGTAGTACCAGGTCTGCTGCAGGTGGGATCRGGAGATACCAGGTGAGTACAGAGCATTCAGGTCCCCTAGAAGTGAGTTCAGCAGGTATTTGGTGGCTTTAGGAAACACCAAGTCCCTGRGGGAGAGTTCAGTGGATATTCAGTCTGCTGGGGAGCATCAAGTGAGTTTACAGAGCACCAGGTTCTTTGGGATTCATGTCCAGGGTACCAGTGTCTGGTGAGTTTGAGGTTCCCAGGACATGAGTTCAAAGGACATCAAGTTGTCTCAAGGAATTTTGGTGAATTCAGGAGGTACCAGGCCTCTTGGAAGAATTAGAGGGTGATCTGAGGGAACAGGATGTTTCCTTGGGGTGTGTTCAGGGGGTAACATGTTCCCTGGAAGAACTGTCTCCCCCTCTACTYTGCTCTTGTGAAACCCCACCTGCAGTGCTGCATCCAGGCTGGGAGCCCAAAACACAAAATTGTGTGGACCTGTTGGAGAGAGTCCAGCAGAATTTATGGACATGCCCCGAGGGCTGGAGCATCTCTGCTCAGGAGTAAGGCTGGGAGAGCTGGGAGTGTTCACCTGGAGAAGRGAAGGTTCTGGGGARACCTCAGAGCCCTTTCCAGTGCCTAAAGGGGCTCCAGGAGAGCTGGCGAGGAGCACTGGACAAGTGCTAGAATGAAAGGACAAGGAGGAATGGCTTTGAAGTGACAGGACAGGATTAGATGTGACCTTAGGAAGAAATTTTGCCCTGTGAGGGTGGTGAGGCCATGGCACAGGGTGCCCAGAGAAGCTGTGGCTGCCCCTGGATCCCTGGAATTGTCCAAGGCCAGGTTGGACGGGGCTTGGAGCAACCTGGGACAGTGGAAGGTGTCCCTGCCCATGGCAAGAGATTGGAACGAGATGATCTTTAGAGTCTTCTAACCCAATAAACATTGTCGGGTTTAGGGGTCCCAAGTCTCCCGTGAATTTAGAGGAAGGTCTGAGGGAGTACCAGATTCCCATGGAACGTCTTCAGGGGAGTACCAGTACCACCRGGAGCGGGTATGGAGGGGTGCAGGGGCCGGCCCATTCTGAGGGCGACCGGCCAACCCTGATCCGGTGGGACTCCCGTAGGAAGGGGGTACAGCGGAGGGACAGCGGACACTGGGCGCGCTCACCGTCGGGTCCTTGATGGCGCAGCCGGGGAGGAAGGGCAGCTCCGGCCCGGGGTCGACCACGGGCCCCATCCCTGTCCCCGGCAGTGGCCCCGGCAGGGGAAGCGGCGCCGGAATCAGCCCTGGCCCCGGCTCCTGCCCCGGCCCTTGCCCCGGCTCCGACCCCGAGCTCATGGCGGCGGCGGCGCTCCGGGCCCGGCCCCGACGACGCGTCTCCACGGCAACCGCCCGCGCGCGCAGTGCGCATGCGCCAAGCTCTTGGCGCGCTCCCTCCGCGCCTGCGCAGTGCGCACCACGGCGCGCGCGGTCGCCGGGACAACGGGCAGGGCTGTGAGGGGCCGAATGGCGCCCCCGCCGCCTGTGAGGGGAGTTCGGCTCCCGCAGCGCGGAAAAAAGACGTGGAAGGCGTTAATTCTGTTTTATTAAGGATTTTTTGCTCACAGACCCTCATAGTCTGCTTGTATGAGGCCCTCATAGGCTCTCATATCCCCCTCAACAGCTCCTTCTATCTCTCTCGTAGCCTCTCATAATCCTGTGCTATTAAAGTATCTTGGCCTCCAAAACGACTGGGCTGCTTTTTTTATGCAGTGTCGAGGTTGAGGAACAGCGGTGAAGGGACAAATCTATATCTGGAGTGCCTGAAACATTTTAACAGAAGTGATTGTGCTGTATATAGTACATACGCATGTATATATATGTGTACATGGGTGTGAAATAGTGTCTTTTTAACATGTAGCATTAATATAATTCCACTCTCAAAGATGATTTTTGTCTCTGAAGGAAGAGGCAAAAAGAAGCATCAAGGAGACCAAGGAAAAGGTGGCTTTGAAAAAGTCAGTCCCGAATGCAAGAGAGAAAACAGAGTTAAATCCATGGATAAAAGAAGTTGTTTGCTGCCCACAGAAGTTGTGGATTTCCCAAAAGAAGTGGACTCCYCATCCCTGGMAGTGTTCAGGGCTAGGCTGGGAGAAACCTGGTCGAGTGGAATGGAGGTTAAAACAAGATGATCTTTAAGGTCACTTCCAAACCTTCTAGGATTCTATTAAATAAAAAAAGGGTTTTTTGTGTGTCTTTGCTTTGTTCTCTTTATCAGCAGTACCGCAGCCAAGCCAGGCTGTGATCCAAGGGCGAGCAGCAGATCCGAGGGTTTTGTAAGCAGAAGTTAAGCAGGGAGAAATGCAGCCAGACCGTCTGTCTGAGCACGGTGTGGGAGAGAGAAGAAAGCCAGACGGTGGGAGATAAAGAATGAGGCTGATGAGCTTAGAAAGGAAAATAATGGACTGAAGGCCAAGCAGGGCTGGAAGAGCTGGGTCTGGAAGACAGCGAAGCTTCTGGTGTGAGGGCTGACTCAGACCCAGGTGCAGATCTCTGATCAAGAGCTTGCTCTGATTTTTCAAGCTGCAATATTTAGGCAGCATTTTAGAGAGAATTGGGGCTGTTTCAGAAAAGGAAATTTGCCTCTGTATGCCAAGGATCATCCCCAAGGAGTGACAGCAAATTTGTGACAAGGTTGTGTGGCAGAGTGCTCTATGCACAGCCTGCAAAGATGACAGGCTACGGATGTTCAGCCTGGAGAAGRAAAGGCTCTGRGAAGTCCTTGGAGCCCCTTCCAATGYCTAAAGGGGCTCCRAGARAGCMAAAAAGGGATTATTTACAAGGGTATGTAGTRAAAGGACAAGGGGCAATGATTTCAAACTGACACAGGGAAGTGGTTGATGAGATATTGGAAGAAACTCTTCYCTGTGAGGGTRGTGAGGCACTTGGCACAGGTTGCCCAGAGAAGTTGTGGCTGTGCCATCCCTGGAAGTGTCCAAGGCCAGGTTGARCAACCTGGTCTAGTGGAAGGTGTCCCTGCCCATGGCAGGGATTTGAAATKAGATGGTCTTTAAGGTCCCTTCCAACCCAAACCATTCTGGGATTCCACAGAAGGAAGTTTAAGAAAAACCGTGGCAGAAGCTGGTACTTAGGAACAGTGACTACAAAGCAGGAAAGAGGAAAGATGAGGAATAAGGAATTGAAGATTTGGATTAAGCTGCATCCTTGAAAACTTTTGTACAGGCAAGTCTGACTTGCCAAGGTTAATATGAGCCTTTTTAGTTTCCCACATTCCTTCTATCTACTTGTGAAAGGGAAAAGGAATTATTTAGCCGGCTCTGCTTTCGTGGCACTGAAAGACAAAGATGGGGAAAACTCGCCCTCTGGTGGGTAAAAACACAACCTACAGAAGCCTTGGTCTKCGTGTCATATTAAGAAATATTAGTTAAAATTCGTGGTTAATAGAAGGAAAAAAATAGGGTTTTTTAGAGGTTTTGAGTGCTGCAATTCACACAAATGTATATTCTGGTTGATGAGTTTTGTATGTGATCATACATGATCCTCCTAGACAAGGTTGATGGGTTGAGGACCCGGAGGAATGCGACAGAACAGGATAACAAAATCAACAAAACACCATGATGAAGAAATCCCTAAAACTGGAATCCCTACATCTGGGAAGTGGGTGTGCTGGGGTGTCTTTCTGAAGTGTGTGTAGTGAACATCAGCAGTGTGGGGACAGGCATGACGAGTCAGAGACCTGGGTGTATCCTCAGGGATGTGTTCTCTTTGGGATTAGGAAGGTGCCATAGGATGGCTCCTGTGACCTGAGTATTGCAATGGAGGGATACMGACAGGCTAAGGTGAGGAGAGGGAGCTGCCCTTTAGTGAGAGAACAGCTGGAGTGCCTGGAATTCTGCCTGGATGATGAGCCAATGGAGAGCCTACAGGGAAGGGATCGAGAGATAACCAATATGGGTGATACTATGGGCAGCTGCCTCTTTGAAGGCTCTGCTCCTCATGGGAGACTTCAACCATCCTGATACCTGCTGGAAGGACAACATAAGRGGGATAGAGCACCTTTCCTGYGAGRAAAGGMTGGGAGAATTAGGGGTGTTCATCCTGGAGAAGGATTTGGGGTGACCTAATTGCAACCTTCCAGTATCTGAGCTTGCAAGAATGATGGAAAAGGATGACCTACAAAAACATCKAGTGACAGGACAAAGGAGAATGGATTCAAGTTGACAGAGAATAGATTTAGATGGGATATTAGGAAGAAATTCTTTACTATGAGGGTGGTGAAGCCCTGGCACAAGATTCCGGGAGAAGCTGCGGCTGCCCCATCCCTGGAAACATTAAAGGTCAGGTTGGATGGAGCCCTGAGAAACCTGGTCTAGAGGAAGGTGTTCCTGCCCATGGTAGGGAGGTGGAACAAGATGATCTTTAAGGTCCCTTCCAACCCAAACCCTTCTATGGTTTGATGATTTGCAATGCAGGAGGTTTCTGGAATGCAGTGCTGATAACTCCCTCCTCCAAGTGATGGAGGAACCAATAAGGAGAGGTGCTTTGCTGGACATTAGACTCACCAGCCAAGGTTCACTGGGGATGTCAGGGTCAAAGGCAGACATGGCTGGTGGAGTTCAAGATCCTCAATGAAGTGAGGAGGGTAAACATCAAACACCAGACTGCAGACTCTGGCCTCTTCAAAGGCCTCTACCTCCTTGGTAGAGTGCCCCGGGATAAGGAGGCCTGGAAGAAATGATCTTCAAGCTCTAAAATGGTCCATTCCAATGAACAGGAAGCTGGACAAAAATGCCAGCAGCCGGCACGGATAAACAGGGAGCTCCTGGAAAAATTCAAACACAGAAGCAGCAGAGTGAAGGTGAAAGCAAGGACATGGATAGAAGGGAATACAGAGACATWATCCAAGTGTGCAGGGATGAGGAAAGGCAAAGTCCAACTGGAATCTGTTTGGGAATGACAACGATAACCAGAACGATTTCTACAGGGTGACAAAAGGCAGAGTGGGGACAATGTGGACCCATTGCTCAGTAAGATGTGGGAGCTGACTACAGAAAACATGGAAAAGTCTTCTTCACCTCAGTCTTCACCATGAAGACCAGCCTTCAGGAATCCTTGGTCCCTGAGACTGGGGGGAAAGGCCAGAGCAAGGAGTATGGACCTTGGTGGAAGAGGATCAGGTCAGGGAATATTTAAAGGATTTTACAGGTGTATATAAATCCCTGCAGGGAGGGTGTTGAGAGGACAGAGCCAGGCTCTGTGCCAGACCCCAGCATCAGGACCAGAGGCCGTGGGCACACACTGGAACACAGGAGGTTCCTCTGAACATCAGGAAACACATTTTTACTGTGAGGGTGGCTGAGCACTGGCACAGTTGCCCAGAGAGGCAATGGAGTTTCCATCCTTGGAGATATTCAAAACCCACCTGGACATGAACCTGGGCAACCAGCTCTGAGTGGCCCTCCTTGAGCTGCGGGTTGGACCAGGTGACCCCCAGAGGTCTTTTCCAAACCCAACCCTTCTGTGACTGTGGATGATGAACTAAAATTTCTCTAATCAGTGTCAGGGCAGCCATTCTGCACTTCCCTTGTGGAAAGGGAATGAAATCTAATTGGTATCGTGAAACCTGGAAAGTGTTTCAAGAWGCACAGATAAAACCACACCCTATTGTTCATTATAATTATTATCAGTCTAATATATCCTCTCTGTAATTATTATCCCCTTTGCTTTCTAACGACTCATAACSTTCTGTAGTTGTGCATTTTGAAATTTGACACCACACTGTTTTGCTTTAACAGATTTTTTTTTCCACTAAAGTTTTTAAATAAAGATCAGTACAGTACAAAGCTTAAAATATTGTCAATGTTTTCAACAATACAAAGTCAGCAGACGGGAGTTGGGAAGGGGATGGTTAGTATGGAAYACTCATACCCTTCCCTGTTTCCCAAAGCAAAAAAATACAAACTCTTTTGTAGTTCTGTTTAGTAACACAGTGCTTAAAAATAATCTTGTCAGTAAAAGATGTAAATTGCAAGGCACATTAGGAACCCGTCCTTGCCTYGTTACACAAATCATTAGGCATAAATACAAATTGAAGGCACCTGTCTCCATCCTCCCCTCCTGCTCCGTACACTGAGCAAATCCTGTCAGTGGCTGTTCAGAGCAACCACRGACCAGCAGACATGAAGGAGGCTACTCCTGATCCTCAGGTTCCCTCAGGATTAATCCCAAAAAGGAATAGCACAAGGCACATTGGGATGAATTCTCAGGAGTTGTCTTGGTTTACAAGGACCAGAGATTCCTGAGGGGGAGGCCTGTGACCTGGGTCCCTTTGGGATCTCAGGTGTGCCCAGTCTTTGGTGGTTAGCTCTTCACCAAGCCTGGTCACTGGAACATCCTTCCCAGCCATGCCTCCTTAGGAGCACTAGGATGGAGGAGRCCTGCTCCAGGCAGTGAACCCAAGGGGAAGGTCCTGGGGGGCTCAGGCAAGCTGAGCATTTATCACAGTGCCACTCTGGCTCTTTCTAGATCCAGCCCTGGTCTCCTCTGGATCACTGGCAGGACTTCCACAGCCRCTTCCCAGCTGAGGTCCAGCAGACTGCAGCATGTGGAGTCTGCCCAGGAAGGCAGCCAGGTGTATAAGGCACAGTATTGAAATCTGGGGATGAAGGAAAGAAAGAAGCTGGTTGGAGGAAGAGGAGGAGGATGGAGACAGGAATGATGGAAGCTCCAGTGTTGGTGAGCCCCTTGTGASACAAGGGTGCATCCTCACAGCAGCACAGATCCGTATGGGAGGTCCCTGCTCGCTCCACCCATCATCGTAACCAGCAGGTCAGCTCCAGGTGGGAGTGCAGGGCCACACGGAGACGGGAGCAGCTTCACCTGAGGGGAAATGTGGGAGTGTGCAAAAACACCTCCRCTGTCACACCACTGCTCCAGAGGAKAAGTGTCACTTCTGCTCAGMCAGGGAGGAGAARACAAATGACCAAAAGTACCTCRGAARAGCCATGTGGGGCTCCTCTCCCTGTCCCTGAATGAGATGGCATTACTTGGCTCCTTTGCCAAGGACARGGCATGTCATCTGTTTTCAAACCCTCCGAGAAGGGGACACCTGGGTCAGCCCTTCCTTAGGTACCAGCATAACTCTAGGTAGCAGCAGAGCAGGTTTGCTATTATCAGCCATGCACAATTCTCCTCCATTTTCATCCCATTTTCATCCCAGAAATGAGCTCCAGACCAGCCTGATTTACCCCCGCATACAGGAACCCACTGATGCAGTCCAGCCAGTTCCACACCCAGTGCCTTATTCTGCCTTACTGACCCCAAAACCAGAGCAAATCAGGCTGTAAGAAAAAGCTGCTCCAACTGGAAATCTTTCCTCAAACTGGGAGGAGTCCCACAAGCAAAATCAGAGGCCATGAAGGGAGCAGTGCATCAGTGCAGCTGAGTAAGTTGAGCAGCCAGCTGCCATGGAAGGAGGAATTGTTGCTGGCCTCCACTCCAGCCCATCCCTGCTGGCAGCTGCATTGTCCAAGTGAGCTGGCTCAGAGGAAAAACCACCCGAAAATTACTGACATTTTTTCAGTAGGATTGGTTTCCCAATGGTTCCTCTCCCAGCACCAGCTTGCTCCATGGTGAGGTGAGCTTCTGTGGAACCTCACCATGGTGAGGAAGGGGTAGGATGAGGTGGAAGTGGGACCATCCCTGCTTGGCATCTCCCMTGAGGCAGATTTTCTGCTAGGTCAGCATGGCTGTACCATCAAAMACAYCCTAARAAAGGAAGTAATTAATTTCTAAGCTGGACTGGATGTAAACCAGGAGGCTTGGACTGATGAGAAAGGTTGGACTTGATGACCTCCTGAAGGCTTTCCTATGATTTCTTCTCTATACTCCAAACTTACTTTCCTCTCTCTCCCTTTGTATTTAATTTTTATAGGGCCATAAGTTCCAAATTCACCCTCACACAGGACCAGCAAAATACCTATTTATAGGTCTGTTTTCAACCACCTGTTAACAGATCTGTTGTCTGGCCCACCTTTCTCTTCCAGCAGGACAGCACTGTTTCCTTCAGGTTAATCTTAACCCAACTAGGAAGCTCTRCAGATATAAAATCTAAAGGCAAAGCCTTTCTGAATAATAAATCCTGTGCACACACATGGAACACGAAMACACACACCTCAAGAGCTAAAACACAAATCAAGTGCAGAAATCAGTGCTTGTCCTTGCCATCCATATCCCCAACCCTACASCTGCCTGCTCAAAACCAACAAACACAATTCATTTGCCTGCCCWTGGGTTCAGTGAGACAAACCCTTGGCTGGGATAGATCCCACGGATTCCTTGGTTTCAGCAAGGATTTAAACCTCCTCAGTGGCTCCATATCCAATATTCCCCCCAGACAAGCACAGAAGAGACTTCTCTAGTGAGGAACACAGTAACCCAGACTTTGTTACTTTGCACAGGAGTGACCCACGGATATTAAAGTGACCTTGACCACTACCTTTGCTATCCACACAGGAATCACCAAGTCCCAAGGACAAACCCATCCCAAGGTTATGCAGGACCCTTATGTTGTCACCCTGCTTCCACCTTTTTCTTCCACCTTCATCTAATACTCATAAAAACATGCCAGAGACACAACCCCACTGGTGAAAGAAAAGAAACTCTGCCTCKTCAAAGTCAGCTTTCCCATAAGGCTCACCAAGGACACAAAGCACCATTAAGAGGGGAATAAAGACTCCTCCACCTTCATAACCTTTTGGCCATGACCACAGTAGTACTGTTGGAGGATCAGCCTTTCCTGAATCAGACAGATCACATCCAAGTTATTCCACACTTCATGGACATTGCTAGAGGTCGGTCAGACTCCCTAGACAGATGATACAGACCTAGTTGGTCCCAGAGGACCCCAGGCCAAGCCTAAATCTCCAAAGATGTTTTCCCAAAGCCACCTAAGCAACCTGGCATTGACACACATGACAAGGGGACCATAGAGATAACCTGGCTGGAATAGGAAAAGGATTCTACCAGCCACTGTCCCACACATGACCTTACCCTGAACCCTAGAAACAAAGACTTCCTGAAACCTTCCGACAGCCTTTGATAAGAACAGATATGGCAAAACCCAGAGAGGTCATCACATCCAGCTGTGGTCCTCATGGCGTTTGTGAGCCCTGGCAGACYCTTCGACAGTCCCACAGCCTCCAGGCCACCCTCCCTGACCTTCAACAAGGTCTCACATACAGCTCTACCAAAAGGAACAAGGAACCTCTGCCTATTCCAGCATCCTTGGTTCAGTGACTTGCTCTGGCTTAAAATATTTCCTGCCCCCCCCCCCCAGATGGCAAAAGGCAATCCCTGCTGTGAAAATGCATCCAGCATGAAATGTCCAGCCCTCCATCTGAATCCAGGGTCCTGGTTAGTCACGGCATGTTAGGCAAGTAAGACAGTCATGTCTCTAGTATGTTATGCCCCCTTTTCTTGATTTTCTCTGGTGATGTCATGCCTGTCACGTCCGTGACTTTCAGGAGTCCTTTTTAGCCAGGCTGGCCTTGATCCTGCKTCTCAAGATGTAAGCTGTGATGGCACTACAGGCCACCAAGCCAAAAAAAGAGATGCAGGAGAGATAAACGGTGAAAGGCCCGTGTCTCTTCAAGAAAATCTCCTGCCTGTTCTTGTAATCCAAAAGAATGGCCTCCAGCTGTGACAGGGTGCAGACGGCCAGGAAGGCATGGAAGATCTGGTGGGCGTGGCCAACGATATCGCAGGAGCCAGGGAAATATTTCTCWGGGACAGGGCAGGAAAAGAAATAAGCACTGATAAGGAAAAACAGTATCTGGTATGTGTGGTACCAAGCAGCATCTTCCTCACAGCCCCCCAGGTGACACACGACCACCCGGTGAGCCACGGGGCTGATATCCAGGATGAAAGCCAGCCCTGCTGGGATCACCTGGCACATCTTCCGCATGATGGGGTAAGGCCGTCGGTAGCGGTATTTGGCGTAGCAGCAGCCGGCACAGGACAACCAGCCACAGAAAGCTGCTGCTGGCAGGAAGAAGAGCCAGAACTTGTCGTACCAGGCTTGGTCAGAGCTGTAGTAGAAGTGAGCCAGGGCACTGCCATACTGGTAGATGCTGACTCCAACATAGTCCACGAAGTAGAAGGTGTAATGGTACAGCTCCGACTTGGACTGCAGCAGGTGGGCCAAGAGGCTGCAGGTCAGGTAAGTGACAGAGGAGAGGACAAAGATGAGCAAAGGCAAGGACCACGCGTCCACGGGCAACTGCTCAGCCTCCACAAACGTCTTGAACCTCAGCAGCACGGCCAGCGCCGCCAGGAGATGAGTCCACACGTTGACCACCTCGTTATGCTTCTGGAAGAGGCTGAGGAAGTAGTAACGCCACTCCTGGCCGGTGGGGCGGTACCCGCTGTGGATGTAGGGCTCCCGGAAGAGCTGTGGCACCTCGCACTCCTTCACCGTGCAGGGCATTTTGGGGAAGCCGTCCTCCAGCAGCCGGGGCAGCCGGCTGAGGTGCTGCCCGCTGAGGGACAGCGTGCTGAGCCGCTCCAGGATGGCTGTCATCCTGCTGCCTTCAGCCCCGCAACAGGGAATGTTGTCTTTGTGCCCTGTGAAGATGGGAGAAAGGGGAATTGTTAATGGTGGTGMATCAGGGAGAAGAGCCTGCAGCCATTCCCAGTGGAATTAACCATGGCACCATCGAGATGCTGGCCCTTAGAGCACCTTCCAATGCCTAAAGGGGCTCAAAAGGAGCTGGAGAGGGACTTTGGACAAGGACCTGGAGTGACAGGATAAGGGAGAATGGCTTCTCATTGCCAGAGGGCAGGGTTGGATGGGATATTGGGAAGAAATCCTTCCCTGTGAGTGGGGGGARGCCCYRGCACAGGTTGCCCAGAGAATCTGTGGCTGCCCCATTACTGGGAGTGTCCAAGGCCAGACTGGATGGGGCTTGGAGCAACCTGGGATAGTGGAAGGTKTSCCTGTTCRTGGCAGGRGCTTGGRACTAGATGGTCTTTCAGGTCGCTYCCAACCCAAACCATTCCATGATTCTATGARTATTAGGGGAATTGAGTGGTACCAGATWTCCTGGGAAGTTGGAAGAGGGTCTRAGGGAGTGCCAGATTCCCAGGGRTATCTGTTCCCTGACCTAAATTCAGCACAGAGAAGGATGCAGAGCCCTGACCCTGCAGCTCAGCTGGCACCTGATGGACACAGCAATGTCACAAGCCTGCCCTTCCTCCCCACTTCCTCAGGTGCTCAGCTCAGAGCATGTTCAGGAGCCAGGAGCTGCCAACAAGGGGGTGCAGGAATTAGTCAGATGGCAAGAARGCATCTGATGATTATGAAGGTGATTTTTCATCCATTACTCCAGAACAAAATGCTCAGGGACAAAACTGGGATGTAATTACTCATCTAAGGGATAATCTGCCTGTCCGCACATTGATTTAGAGGGTCCCAACCAAATCATGGCTGCAAAGAAACTCAAACTTCCCTGTCACACAACTTGCCCATGGGTTACCCACCTGGGGCTGCTGTAGTGAGTATGGCAGAGGGAGAAAGGAAGAAATCCACAGTCTCAAATCTGCAGCCCTCATCCCTCCATGTGTGTAAGAAGCATCAGGACTGAGAGGGAATGAAGAAATGAGAGGCTTTGCATCTGAGATGGCTGCAGCTTGGGTACAGCATCAGAGTTTTGGGAACATCCACAGAGCCATGCTGAGGGACTGCCAGAGATGTGCCTGGAAGCTCAGAGCAGCCAAACCCAGTTCTGGGCACTCCTCTGCCTGCTCTGCTCTGCTCCTTGGTAACCTCCAGACTGGCTAAGCTCTGGCTGGCAAGATTCAGATTCAGGGCACAGCAGGATCCCAATGTCAGGAGAACAACCCCTGGCATCAAATTAATTCCCAGTACCCCCTGTTTCCCAATAACCTAGATATTTCTCTTCCCTGCTGATGGTTGTGTCATACTAAATAGAGGAGAATTCATCACAAATGCCCATGTTAAACTGAAATTGGTGCTGATAGGATGCCATCAGACTGTGCAGGGCTGTGGTTACKCCTGTGAAACCAACACACACAGGTTTGCAGGAGTAGGATTGGACTCCTAAGCTTGTATGCACCCAACTGGAGCTGCAGGGGATGGAGATGTAAAAGAAAAAAGTAAATGCAAGTAAGTATTTTGCCTGAGTGTGAAAAATGGTGAATTTTATTCCTGTTACATGATATCCCAGCTGTGTCCAGAGGTGAGACAGCAACAGTTTGAGTGGGCACCTGGTCTAGAGAAGGTGTCCCTGCCCATAGCAGGGAGYTRGAACTAGAGGAGATTTAAGATCCCTTCCAACCCAAAYCATTCTGTGATTCTGTGATGGGAGACTCCTGCTAGGCCATGATACAGAGGACAGGACAGTGTCAAACACCATGAGAGAGTTTCTGAAAGCAGAGAGGTGGGACCTGGCAGTCCCAGGGTGAGAAAGCACAAAGAGCGACCTCAGAGCAGACTCTCAATCAGGTGCAACGTCCCACTTCCTGCAGAAACCCAAAGCATCTGATAAGAGAGAAAATATTTTCATGTTGCTTCCGTATTCTAGCAGAGAYGAGCTGTCATAATTAAGTTTCATTTTCCAGAAAACTCTTTCTGCCCTAGATGGCCTAGGCTTTCTCCCTTAGCATCTCTCAAGGCAGGAGGTTTTTTCCCTGTTTGCCACAGGGGAATTTGTCTGCTGTGTTTGATGGAGCTGCCTTAGCCACAGAAGGCAAAATGGTCCCTGAAGATGCTGTTTCAGTTTCACAGATGTGTAATGCTGAAGAAAGCACCCTGACAGGGGGGGGCTAATGTTGTGCACACTCACAAGGRTTTTGCTCCTCTCCTAAAGAAGAGGGTCCTGATCTGTGATGGGACACGCAGTTCACTCAGCAGCTTTTGTATCCCTGTGGACCTACATGCCAAAATTTAGGGYGAAAAGGCAAATTTTGACTTTGGGGCACTCTCTGAGGGCATGGTGTGAACAAAAGGCAATTCTCCCTCTCCCCTGTTCCAATGTGCAGCCAGTCTATTCTGGCTTCTTATAGCTAATGGAGTTTATTCGTAAATCATGGAATTGTGCAGTGGTTTGGATGGAAGGGGCTGTTCAAGATCATCTCGTTCCACTCCCAGTCATGGGCAGGGACATCTTCCACTCTCCCAGGGTGCTCCAAGCCCTGTCCAACCTGGCCTTGGACACTTCCAGGGATCCAGGGGCTTCACAGGTGCCACAGCTGCTCTGGGCACCCTGTGCCAGGGCCTCACCACCCTCATAGGGAAGATTTTCTTCCTGCCTACGGCAGAGGGATTGGAACAAAATGATATTTAAGGTCCCTTCCAACACAAACCATTCTGGGATTCTATGATTCAATGATCATGGTGGCAAGACAAGAAGAAAGGACGTATTGAAGTTCTTTACATCTCAGAGAACATGGACTAATGCCAGACTGGACCTGTGGACATTAGGAACTGAAAACCATCTCTGATACAGCACTGACCTGCAAAGAGCAGGCTGGAAGAACTCATCTCCTGCAGAGAAACCTGCCCATAAAGAGCAAAGGGAATCCAGGGGGAAGTGGCAATAAAGCCCAGGAATAGGGATGCTTGGGAATGCAGTTCATGGCCTGCCTGCTTTGCATGCTGACAAGGGTGTGAGAGAAACAGGCAGCTTCTGTCCCAGGCACAGCCTGGCTCTGGCTGGCACCGCTCGTGCTCCTGCCAGGATTTTGCCATAGTCTCTCATCCCCAGAGTTCAGTGAGCATTGCCTCGGAGAGCCTGGGCATTGCTCATCCCCCTGACAGCACAGATTATTCCAGGCTGGCTTTCAGAGCTGGAAAATGCCAGTTTTAAACAGGCTGTGAGGGGCAGAGATTTTCAAAATAATAGTCCAAAATCACAAGAAACACATCTGATACTGGGCTGAACAGCACAAAATCAGGACCTGGTAGCCTGCTTATTTCAAACCTTGTGATATGAACGAGTGAGAACAAGTTGGCAGTTTCCAGCGATCATGTGATGGGACAAAGTGACGAGCAATTAACGTTAGAAAAGAGAAAAAAAAAAAAAAAAAAAAAAACCCAACAAAAAAACACCAACCCAGAAACCCAAGGTCAGCACTGGCTGTTTCACTTTCACAGAGCCCCTATTCTTTTCCCTTCACGGGGGCGTAGGAGCAGCTGAAAGCCACATTCATTGGCGGGGTGTCTCGTTGAGATTCCGTCCTCACCCCCCATCTCCGGGGGATTCAGTTATTTTGGCTGCTCCCAATTAACAGCAACCAAGTATCGTTTGTTCAGGGAGGGAGCTGCAAGGCGAGAAGGAGGGAGTGGATGATRGCCAGGCTGGATCATTACAACCACAATAAAAACTCCCGGCACAGGAGGAGAACGATCCCGTTCCAATTTTTCTCTCCCTTTTGAAGAGGGTAATTGGAAACCCGAGCTTTTTCCCAGCTCTTTTGCTTTTTGGTCACAGTCTGATGGAAGGGTTTGAATGAGAAAATTTCCTACAGAGTACGGTTGATTTTCCCACCAGTCTGGCCCCCGAGTTCACTGTCTGGKATTGAGGCTGGACCAGTGTGATGGATTCACTTGCAGACTGGTATTCAGGCATCAGAGGTTTACACAGGCTTCCAAAAAGGCAGTAATTCCTGGTAAACAAAGCAGGGAGGACCAGGAGTACTCAGCTTTGGGGAAGTCTTTAATAAATGCATTGCATTTAAAACAGAAAAAAGGAGAAGTGGTTGTGGACAGCATGAAAATAACAGCAGTGGCCACCAGACTGCTTTGGAGAGCTGCAGGTGATTAATTCCTGAATTCCTCTCTTCTGGCAGTTGAGCAAAAGTCCCTGSGGGGACTCCAAGTCATTTTGAAGCTTGGGGTTTTATTGTGACCCCTTCCCACACATGGTTAACTTTGGTGTCACAGCTCCTACAGCACTAGGATAGCAGGGAGCAGTTGGGCTCTGGGAGAGGCTGCACCAGGGCTGCACCCAGCTCAGATGCACTGAATAAACCCCATCCCAAATCCTGTTGCCTGAAGGCTGGTCCTCYCTAAGCACAAACATCCCCTCCTGTAACTAAACCTTTGTGATGGGCTGGAGGAAAGACCATCCTGGGAGCACAGTGCCAGCTCCTCCATCCCATTCTGCCTGGTGTTTTGGAAATGCCTCACCAGAGATGAGAAACTGAGAGACCATGGACTGGCTCAAGCAGCAGCTCCTGTGCAGTCTTGGTGTTCCCTGCTTCTTTCTSCTAACACAGATTTAGGTGCCAGCATTCCTCCAGGAACACACGGAGCTCAGATCTGTTCTGCAGGGAGTTACTGGGATTTACAACTGGCACAGGTTGCTCAGACAATCKGAGGCTGTTGCATTCCTGGAAGAGTTCAAGGCTAGGCTGGACAGAGCTTGAAGCAATCTGGGATAGTGGAAGATGTCCCTGCCCTTAGAAGTGAGGGTGGAACTGGATAAGGTTTAATGTCCCTCCCAACCCAAACCACTCTGGGATTCCATGATTTGACTGTTTGTGGCAGAGCAGGCAGCAAGGTATGAAGGACTGATCTACACTCCAGCAGCAAAGTGGAAATTGCCACAACCAGAGAAGGGCCAGGTGCTTGGGGCTTCTGTAAACTGGACTTACACCTCCCCATCTATGAAATTGGGATATAAAAAAATCCTCATCTGCCTGATGGAAATGAGATACTGTGCTCCTAATGCACTGGGCAGTGCTGGGACTACTTAACAATGCATCACACAGATTTTATTTCCCTCAGGGCACTTGTGTACCCTGTTACATCTACATCAGCCCAATTCCCATCATTCCTCCAACMGGAATGCACAACTTGGGATGCTCTGGAAGGTAAAAAGTGATGCCACGTGATTTACTGAAGGGCATGACTTGAAATAACGTGACCTGTTAAGAAAAAAGGTCAAAGTAACCTAGTGGAAAATTTCAAATAAAAGAAGACTGCTCAAATTCTCCCTTTCTCTATACACAAACACAAACACAGAGCATGCAGCGCAAGCAGGGTTTGTCCAAGCATGTATCCCTCAGGAAACGAACGTCCCGTGATGCTGGGAGACGGGCCACGAAAGCCAGCAGGAGGTGGCAGGWTCCCCCACGGAAGCCATGGCAGTGTCAACTCCCCTGCAATTCCTGGCCTGGAAGCGAGCTGGGCCAGCAGCCAGCTCAGCCGTGCTGAGCAGCAAGTGCCTCTTGACATGGGCTCAGCGTTGCCTGAGCTTTGGGATGGGGCCAGGGGATGAGAGCAGTGGAGCCAGAGCAGGGAACGCTGTGCTCGGAAGGCACAGAGCAAAACAAAGCTGCTGGCAAACACCACATCCCTGCAGCAAAGCATCCCCCCAGGCCCTGTGGTGTTTAGGGGTGCAAAGCAGSGGGATGGAACCCCAAAGTCAGGAAAAAAAAGGCTGGATGAGGCTGGGGAGTTTATTGTGAGAGTCCAAGCATCACGTGCAGGGGGKTTGATTTTCACAACATCAGGTTCTCAGAGATCAGCTGGGCTGGCATGGCCGTTCCTGTGCTGCTGCACTGGTACAACTCCTGTTCTGTGCTATCTCCCAAACMATGCCAGGGAATGGCACATTTCTGCTTTGTTGTGACAGCACAGCTGCACTTTCCTCATGCCTAAACAGGGTTAAAGCTTGSTGATGCTGCTGCTAACACAGCAAATAATTCCTGAAAAAAGTAAGAAACCCACCTGTAGCACCAGTTAATATTCACTGATTCTACTCACAGGCCCTGGCTGGGAATTCCCTCCTCTGRCAAATCCACTCCCCCTGTATCAAAAATTGGTCAAGGGCGAGGTAATATTCTGCAGCTTTTCTTCCTAATCTCACTAATCCTTTGCTGTTTGTGCTTTCCTGATCCGGTCACCACTTTCTTTTCCCACACACAACCAACACAGCATCCAATGCTTTGGGGCTGGATTTCAGTGACTGTGAAATCCCTGGATGAGCACACCAGGAATCAGACCAGGCCAGGACACAGTCCCAAATGATGACCATCAGATTGCTGAAATGTGAGCACACTCCTGAGCATGATTTCTGTCTTGCCACCCACACCAGTCCCTGCCTGCTGTATTCAGCCAGGCAGAATCACTGATGGATTGGGACTGACCATTTCCAGAAACTGGAATTGTGCCAGTGAAGTGCCTGAGGGGTTTTCCCCCTCCACTGACCAAAAATGGAGCTTGGATTTGTTGCAGCTGCATCCTGCTTTCACCTCCTAAATATCCTTCAGCACAAATCTTCAGTGCAGATCAGCTGGAACTGGGAATTCCTGCTAGCCCAGGGAGACCTCGACAAGCCAGCAAATCCCTCCCTGCTCAGATCCATCAGCTGATGGGACAACCCTGGAACCATCTGCTTGTGGGSAGAACAACCAAACCAAGGTGCCTGTGTGTTGTTTGGGGGTTCAAATCATCCCCAAAAGAGTCTCTGGGCTGAGGCTGCTCAGCTTTGCTGTCATCCACAAAAGCCTCTTGCACAAAACCTTTTTTTTTTTCTTTAAGGTTGTGGATTTTAGAGCTTCGGTCACTCGAAAAAAATGTATATAAATCATGCAGAACCCTGTGGCTGCTGCGGGCAGAGAGGAGGCTGCCAGGGAGAGACTGCAGCCCTGTGCCAACTCCCCAGAGCTGCAAACTCTCCTCTCCCCTGCACTGAAAGTCTTTGTCCCCATCCGGGACTTTGTCCYATTTAGCCCAGTGGCCTTTCCCAGCGAGGTTCTAGGTTTGCAGTGATTGAAGTGATGCCCTTCCTGGGGGCTAGAGAGCCCCAAGAAAGAGCCAGATGGCAGATTTCACCCCCCATTTCCCCCAAAATGGGATGTAGGCTGTGCTGGATCCACATGCTTACAACCCTACTCAATCCCAAAGATTTGGTGGGGCCTGGGAGGTGGGCAGGAGCTGGGATCAAGCTTCACTTTACTACCTGGAAGTGTCCAAGGCCAGGTTGGACGAGGGTTGGGGCAACTTGATCTAATGGAAAGGGGGTTGGAGTTGGATGATCTTTAATGTCCCTTCCAACCCAAACCATTCCATGACTCTGTGAAGGATGGAGCTTATAACGGTTTGGCCACATCTGTACAGCTGCAGCCCAAACATGCAACCTCCAGCAGCCTYCCTGGGTATTTATACTGCTGGAATTTATTAATGATTAATTATTTATGCAATTAAAGGACCACCGGTCTGACCCCAGGAACAAAGGTCACCCCGTAGACTGGCRGATAAAAAATTAAGCTGGTGTCTAACTCAAGATGAGCAAGTAGCCGCAAGCTCACGCACGTGACCCGGTGGTGGCACCTCCCTTGTCCCCAGCCCCRCTGGCACGGTCATCCCTCCCTGCATCCACAGGGACACAGCCCTCTGCTCAGCACAGGCTGCGGCTGCAGCTTCAGCATAAACAAATAAAAGCAATTAATGCCCGGGAAACAGAAAATCCTGCAGGGTGCAGGGCTGTTAACCCACACCTTCCCCGGCTGTGTGGGAGGAAATGTGTGACTGTGTGGTTTGGCCTGACGGGCCCCAAGTGGGTTTCTAGGAACTGTTTGCAGCACATATCRCCACGGCACCCCAAGAAGGAGCACRGTCTGMTGCTAGAATTCAGAATTCRTGGCTGCCTGTCCCCTCCCTGCCCTGGCAGACGGCAAAAAACAGTCTTCAGACCCGCTGGATTCATCCTTTTTCATGATTTTTTCATGACCTTTTTATTTTTTAACCACTGCTGCCAGGGCAGCATCACACTCCTCCTTATCCTAATCCCCTGAAAGCAATCATGGAATCCTAAAATGTTTTGGGTTGGAAAGARCCTTAAAGACTGTCTCATTCCAACCCCCCTGCCATGGGCAGGGACACYTCACATTAGAATAGATTGCTCCAAGCCCCATCCCACCCAAAAATCCCCCAGCTAGAAAGACCTAAATCACTTCCCATCTCCAAAGCCAGGATCTCACAGCAACCTACAACAAATGCAGCTCTCCATCCCAGTAAAAACCCCTTGTGCTCCAGCCAAAGCAGCTTCGGGATGAACCACTGGAGCTGCACGCGTATTTAATGAGCAGGGAATCTGCATAGCCAGTGCAGGATCTGTGGCACTTCCCATCTTGGCACAGCCCCTGGGGATGCTCCACACTCAACCCTACTCAGGTCAGAGAGGATTTAGTTTGACACCAAACAAACAACTGTTAAATGTTTACCTGAACTTATATATCTATATATTTGTGTTGAAGAAAACCAGAACGCTTTAAGACTTTCTACAATATTCCCCCCACTTAAAAAAAATAAAAAAAGTGGGATGCTTGGTGTGTTTTCAGCCAGGAAATAACCCAGATGGGATACAGGGGGAACATGACCCCGAAGTACCCTGGAGAAGATCAGCAGGGAACAACTCTCCAGTGACCCTTTGGAGACTCGCCCCAGCTCGTGTATGCGCAAGGGGCAGGCGGCAGCTCCAAGGCAAACACCGGGAGCTGGTTCTTCCCCCAGCTCACGGCTGAACTATGCATCTCCTTCCCGTGGCCTCCAGAACTCCCCGGGTGTCAAAGTCATTCAAGGAAAATCCGCCCACAGCCATTTCAAACAAACACGGAGGAAAACCACTGCCCACCTCTCTCCTTCGGGAAGCCCTTGAGATACCGGTAGCGGGGGAATTTAAAACAAATCCGCGTCTCTCTGTGCATTCCTCCCCTCCTGACACTCTTCCCCAGCACCCACCTGGCCGCTGCTCCAATCCTGGCTTGATGGACCACAACTGCGCGTGGCKCAGAGGGAAAGATCCCGCATCGTCCAGGGATTTCTGCAAGCACCAGGCACCGCACACCGGCCACCCCCGGCACCCAGCCCTGCCTCCCGCAGCCCCCGCGGGGAAGGATGCTCCCGGCGCGGCGGGGATGCAGGAGCGGCGGTACCCGCGCGGGGCCGCCGGAGCGCACCGGGAACTCGCTGGGGACCCTCGGCGGGGTGTCCCGGGGGGAGGGAGAGGAGGGGACGGCGGGGAGGGAACCGCCCGCACTCACCCATCGCACTCACCGCTCTCAGTGTCCGCACTCACCGCCCGCACTCAGTGCCTGCTCTCCATCTCCCGCACTCAGTGCCTGCTCTCCATCTCCCGCACTCAGTGCTGGCTCTCCCCTCCCGCACTCACCGCTCTCAGTGTCCGCTCTCAGTGTCCCCTCTCAGTGTCCCCTCTCAGTGTCCCCTCTCCGCTCTCTCCTCCCTCTCCCGCTGCCGCTGCCGAGTCCCGGCGCCGCCGCCTCCGGGAGCCCCCGCGGCTCTCCCGCGCATGCGCGGCCCGCCCCGCCCCGGGCTGGCCCCGCGGACCGAGCCCAACCCAACCCAACCCCGGCCGGACCCAACAGAGCCCAAATCCCGTCACCCCAGCGCTGGGTGCGGAGGGGAACTCAGTGACACGGCGGGAGAAGGCTGTAAAGTCACACAATTACAGAATGGTTTAGGTTGGGAGAGATCTCCAAGGTCATCGAGTCCAACGGGTGACCGATCCTTTTCACCAGACCACAGCACTGAGTGTCGCGTTCTGTCGATCCTTGGACACCTCCAGGGATGAGGACTCCCAACACCTTCCTGAGCAGCCCATTCCAATGCCTGCCCACTCTTTCCATGAAGAAATTCTTCCTGAAATCCAACTGGAACCTCACCTGGTGCAGCTTGAGGTTCTTGTGCTGTCCCTGTTCCCTAGGAGCAGAGCCTAATCCCATGTGATGCACCATCCTGTCAAAGAGTTTGTAAAGATGAGAAGGTCCCCCTGATCCTCCTTTTTCTTCAGGCAGAAGACCCCCAGGTCCCTCTGCAGCTTCTCAAAGGACTTAAAATTCACCCCAAGGTGTTTGGGGATGACAAGGGACCTCGGGAGGTGACCTGGTCCAGCTCCAGGGCCATCCAGAGCCAGTTACCCAAGATTGTGTCCAGATGGTTTTTAAGATCTCCAAGGACGGAGATCACTCTCAAGGATGGCGATTTTACATTCAAAGTCAAWAAGACAGGATCAGGGGCCATGGGTACCTACTGAAGCACAGGAGGCTCCTCTGAACATAATGGAACACTTTTTAACTGTGAGGGTGGCCGAGCACTGGAACAGGTTGTCCAGAGAGAAATATCTCCATCCTTGGAGATACTTAAAATCCCTCTGGACATGGACCTGGACAACCAGCTCTGAGTGGCCCTGCATGAGCAGGGGGGATGGACCAGATGACTTCCATGGAGTTGGTGGGAATCCCCTGATTTTGGTGCTGTGGACACACGGCAGATGATTTTCCCCAAGATGTCCAGGTTAAAGGCCGGGTGGCCTCAAGCCAGCTGCCACCATCAAACTCTTTGGGCTCCAGAAAATACCCCTTTGMRCTCAAATGGACTTYCAGGAGCAGCCTCTGGGATCCTGAACTCTGCCTGGGAAATGTCTGGGAGAGGCTGGTGCATCCTGGACGGAGCTGTGCCAAACCACAGCAGTGGGTTCAGCTGCAGAGTCACCATGACCCCAAGAGCAGGTTAATTTATGAGCACAGAGCACCCGTTTGCCCTCTCCYGGCTCTGCCTCAGCTGGTTCATGCGGGTTTTGCTGCTCCAGCCTGTCAGAACTGCTGGCTTTTGATGGGTTTACCAGGAAAACAGAAGGACTGCTTGTTCTGCAGGGAGAGGATCCACRGAGAGGCAGCCCAGGAATGCGACTTTGTGGCTCTGATAAGATCTCTCCAGCCTGGGTGAAGGTTCAGCACATCCCAGCACAAAYCTCACTGCACGTGGGAGAGCCACTGCCCCCAAAGTGAGGAAGGAAAACATCCAGGGTGTGCAAGGTGGACAGAGGACCTCAGTTTTTCCCTGTGATTGCACTTGGGGATGTGGATAAAATTTGGATGGGGATAAAATTTGCAGATCCCATCCCTTTTAGTGACATCTTGCACTCACTTTCTGTCCCTCCCTGAAGACATCCCTGAAAGACCTGGAATAGTACATCTTTCTCCTCCATTCCTTAAATTGGGAGGGAATTCTGCCCCTCTGCTTCATTCTGGTGAAACCCCACCTGCAGTGCTGTGTCCAGCTCTGGGACCCTCAGCATCAAATGATGTGGAACTGCTGGAGCAAATCCAGAGGCCACACAGATGTTCCAAGGGTGGAGCCCCTCTGCTCTGGAGCCAGGCTGGGAGAGTGGGGGGTGTTCACCTGGAGAGGAGAAGGTGCCAAGGAGAGCTCAGAGCCYCTTTCAGTGCCTAAAGGGGCTCCAGGAGAGCTGGAGAGGAGACAAGGGATGGAGGGACAGGACACAGGCAATGGGTTATAGATGGCATAGGAGGTGGGACATAAAATACAAGCCAGGCAGAAAGGCATGGTGGGGTGTGACATCTCTGCTGCAAATGGACACTGCACGTTCCTTTTTGTTCCAATGAAAGGTTTTTCCCTCATTTGACTTCAAGACGTGCCCCAGGACAGCCATGGGAAGGGCAAAGGGCAGCTCTGTGTGGGATAACTGCTCTCCTGGGTGGGWGCTGACAGCCTGGTTTGCACCCCAAGCCTGCACAGTGACATCTCTTTGATCACTGGCTCTAAGGTGAATGGTACCAAGCCACACTTTGTAGTGCATCTCAGACTTACCCTGCTGTGCTGYAGTCCCTGTTACTCCCTATTGCTGACATTTTAAACCCTGAAATGAATCACCCAGCTCCCTTCAATTCATGATCCAGGTGTGGTTGTGTTTGCCCAGGAGATTAGTCCCAGAGTTAAGACAAGGTTGTACCAGGCTGGGCTCTCCCAACCCTCTACAGTCATCTGATAGGATTCAAGCATGCTTTGTRCCCTCAAACAGGTCCTGAATGCTTGAATTCCCCACCCAAATGTGCATCATASAGCAGTKTGGGTTGGAAGGSACCTAAAAAATGCTGTTCTGTTATTTTACTCAAAAAAAGAAGCTTCTTCTGTGGATCAGGGTTTCCCTTCACCAAGACGCAATCCAAACACTCCATGTCCACACTGTGCTGTTGAGGACCAATGTAGCAGCTTTGCAGCAAAGACAACCGAGGTATTCCAAGCACCAAATGGCATCCAGAAAGTAGGATGTGCTACCTTTTCCTTCTATTTGCCTCTAATAAAGAATATTGACATTTTGTTATTGTAGCTGGGTAAAAGATATTTTTTGCCCTGTCTGTTCCCATATGGAACTCCTTCCCACTGGGCAAGGATTGATGCTCATGGTTTGRGATGTTTTAAATAAAAAAATCTGCAGATGCAGAATTAGAACACTAAGAACACATTAGATCACTAAGGCTCTCTTTAACTAATAATTCAGAAAAAAAMCCAACCCTCACTTGGGTCACCAAGTTCAGCCTGTGCAATCAGAAAGAAGCACTCRATACAGTTAATTTTGGCACCATCAGCTGTTCCCCACGTGTTGTACAAGGATTGTGTGGCAATTTGGGGTCAGGACTTCCCTGCCTCCTCGTGGTTTGCCTGCAGCAGTGACAGCCCATTGTGACACTGATGGGGGTTAGTGATGTGCCTTACACCGAGTGCTGCAGCTTCCCAGCTTTCCATCAGGACAGGGAAGGCATCAAGAGCAGCCCTGAGGAGAAAAATCTGAAGGTGCTGGTGGGTGAGAGCTGGACATGAGCCATCCCTGAAAATCCCTGTGTCCTGGGCTGATCCCCCAGCGTGGGCAGCAAGGGAAGGGGGGTTCTGCTCCTCTGCCCCACTCAGGTGAGACTCGACCTGCAGAGCTGCCTCCAGATCTGGGGAACAACAGCAGAAGGACCTGGAGCTGCTGGAATGAGTCCAGAGGAGCTTCTCTGCTCTGAAGCCAGGCTGGGAGAGCTGGGGGTGCTCACCTGGAGAAAAGAAGCCTCCAGGGAGAGCTCAGAGCCCCTTCCAGAGCCTAAAGGGGCTCCAGGAGAGCTGGAGAGGGACTGGRGACAAGGGATGGAGGGACAGGACAAGGGTCATGGCTGAAAGAAGGGTGGCTTAGATATTGGGATATTGGGAATAAATTTTTTACAGTGAGGATGGTGTACATCTCCCTGGAAGTGTCCAAGGCCAGGTTGGATGGGGCTTGGAGCAGCCTGGTCTAGAGGAAGGTGCAGGGAGTGGGACAAGATGATCTTTAAGGTCCCTTTCAACCCAAACAGTTCCGTGGTTCTGTGATTCTAAAGCCAGACACCCCTTGCTGAATTGACCAGTAGATCCTGCTCCAGGGCTGAAAACAGCCCCCAGAGATTCTGAGGAAGTGGCAGGGATGTTTTGCATACAGATGGGTGATTTCCAGGCTTGGGGGGTGGAGAAAAATGAGAGAATATATATTAAAAAAAAAAAAAAAGGAACCAGCTGTCACTGTCTTTAGCAACAGGCAGAAGTCATGAGAGCAGATGAGCAGACCGAAATAGCAACACCAAACCTCWGTCTCTGGGCCCTTCAGACTTCCCTGGAAATGTGGTTGGGTTGCCCCATTCCTCAGCCAGGCTCTCCAGAGCTTTGCTGTTGATTCAGCCACTCCTCTGGTTTCGTTTGGAATTCAGTTTTCCTCACGCCCGCAGGCACGGCCTGTGTGGGTTTGTTTTGGTTTTCTATTAATTGCTGTGTTTTCCTCCTGCACAGCAGGAAAATAGGATGAATCCCCATGGGATCTGGGGTAGCTGTGCTTCAGGAGCAGGAGCAGAACAAGAWTTTATGTTCCCATCACTGTGCTAAGGCCACGCTAGAGGCATCTGGGAGGAAAAACAAATCCATATGCTCTGGGATCCTACTCTGGGAAGCAAGAAAGTGCCTGCAATCCATCCAAACACACTGAAGGTCAGAGCTGTAACTCCTTACCCACTTTCCTGTGCTCTCCTGGTGAGATACCAGCAGCTCCCCTTGCCCGTAAGTAAAGAAATTCCATTCACACACACTGATAGTAGTTTTCCATATTTTTCTCCTCCACAACTAGGAAAAAACCAGAAGCTAGAACCGTTTAAAGATTTACCAGCCTGCGTGGGAATAGCAAATACTTCAAGAAAATTATGTCAGAAATGCCTGAGCTGGGTGYAGATGTGATGGGGTGAAATTCTCCAGCCTATGTTAGGGAAAAGGTCAGGACAGAGGATTAAAAAGGGCTCCTTCAGCATTAAATTATTTGTCTTACACATGTGTGGAAGTGATGAGAGTCGGGTAAACACTCTGCTTGTSAGAGTGAATTCCCTGGTTGGGCTTCAACTCCTCCAACTGCAGCTGCAGGAGAGCTCAGTAGGGATAAGTCCCTTTAATCCCTTGGAAAACTTAAAATTTACTCTGATAAAAACATCTCATAGGTGGTCTCACTTCTCCACATCATTTGAATTGTAAAAAGTGACCTTTTCCYATTCCAAACATTGAATTCCATGTTATTATCCCTCTATTTTGCTACAAATATATTTGAAATCTTCACCCCAGTGTGTTGCTTGGTGATAAAGTGACACTGTCAAATTTGGGATACTCTCCCCCCATTTTTGGAGCTGTGAATTAGCCACAAGCTTCTCCCTGCCTTTCGTCAGTGAAGCAAGGCTGCTCAGCAGCCAGGAGAGCAAATTGATGGAAACTTGAAAATTGACATTTAGTTGAACTACAAAGAAAAAAAAMMCARCAAAAACCAACAACAAAAATGACAGAAACAAAAATGACAGCAACAAGAACAACAGAACCCCACAACACCCCAGAATCTTGGAAGGATCACCCATAAAACCTCAGAAACCAAGTGCACAGGTGGATTCTGGTGCACAGAACTGTGAGGAAGAGATGAGAAAATCCACRCTGAGAGCTGTTGGGGTGTTCTGGCCAGCACCCCTCGTGTGCAATTCACCCATGAAAATCGCTCCTTCGTCCACCCCGATCATTTCATTTCTCTGCAAGCCCTGCAGTCCTGGCCCTCTGCGTGTTAAGTGCCTAATTCCTGTTTTTATCAGTGGATAGGAAGTGCTAAATGTCCCTGTGAGCTTGTGCTGCCTTTTCACCCCATAAYATCCGGGATGTGGCAGGGAGATGAACCCAGGGATACCCTGGGCACAGTCCTGGGAGTCCCAAAAGGCAGGGAAGGTTTCTGCCTTGCCTTTGTCGTGTCCCAGCTTTCTCCACCTYGCTCCATCCCTCTCTCCTGCTCGGCCTGCCCTGCTCCGATGAATTATTCAGGCACGCAGCAGTTGCTATAGGGCGCTGTCATGAATAACAACAGCGGCTATTTTTATCCCTAACTCCAGTTACCTTTCGGGCCAGGAGYGGTGCAGCCCTGCCAGCTCCTGGCAGGAGCAAAACTGCAGCCATCCACAACGTCTCCGTGGGCTGGGATTCGTTTTGACCACCCAAATGTAGGTGAGATCTTGTGCAATCTGCATAGATGTGCCTGAATCCCACACTGGTACCTCTCTGTGTTGTATTCACGGGGTGTTTTACACCCAAATTTTTTTTTCCACCTCTATTTTATCTGCAGTGGAGTACATATACTGTCCATTGCTGGATTTAATATTCTGTCTGCTGCAGAGGGAGGCAAAGCATCTCAGAGGTGAAATCTCACATGGGGGACTGACAATTTATATGGGGTAAATCATATTTCATTTGGGGACTTACAGAGATTCCTCCAGCCATTTTATATCCTCATGGATGATGTTCTCAAATATCTTTCTGCTATCTTTATGTTATCTTTACGTTATCTTCATGTTATCTTTTTATATGTGTGATGGGGCACACCAAAAGTTTTTTTCTGTTCACTTTTTGTGCTTTCTCACTCATGAAAACAAGAAATATCCAGCAAATAAGAGGGAAGGGATGGATTTAGGGAACATCTGAAGGGAAATGGGTCCTGCTGAGTGCAAAGAAGCAGGGTGGGTATTCCAGCTGCAGGGAGCATCTCTGGAGCTTGCAGGGCAAGGTAAAAGGGGAGGAAAAAAATGAAAAGGAAAAAGAAAATAAAGGGAAAGGGAAAGGAAAAAGAGAAAAGGGAAAAAAAAAGGAAGAAAACAGCAACAGAACGTAAGATTCTTTATTCCTGCCAACCTGCCAAACCGAATACTCCATCAAATTATTCCACAGGAGAGCTAAAAGGCCTAAAAAGGAAACTCTGAACTTTCACTTTGACACAAGAGCAATGTGAAGGAGCTCTCCAGAGCAGGACAAATATCCAGGACTTGGGCTATRTGTATTCCAAACTGGCTAAAAAATTACCAGCACAATTTCCAGTGACTGATCTGATCCAGGCACACAAACAGAAAATGGGAAACCGGGCAAAGGCCGTTTCCTGCTGCTCTTCCGAAACACAAATCACAGCTGCTCCCTCTGGAGAGATCGGGCAGAAGGAATTCTGTCCCTCAGCATTTGCACAGCCCAGCARAACCCAGGGTGAATATTTATTTTCAGGATTACCCTGGAAAAACTGCTGTTAGCTACAATATCCAGGGGACATGGCCAAGTTTTGGTGCTTGGTATGCCCTGCTGATCAAAATATTTTTGTCATGCTTTTTATTCTTTTTCTATTTTTAAACAGAGTTTAGATAAAGATTTTTAAGGGATACTATAATGTTTTTTTTTAAGGGGGAGCAAAAAGGTTTCCCTGTAGGCAGCGACACCTTTTGATTCCTGCCTACAACAGCCTCTTAGGAGAYTTAAAGGAGGCTTGGAAAAGAGGGAAAAGGAGTTTTTACACAAGCAGATAATGACAGGACAAGGACTGGTTTTCAAACTGACAGAGGGAAGGGTTAGATGGGACATTGGAGAAAAAAATTCTTCCTTTGAGGGTGGTGAGGCCCTGGAATAGGGTTCCCAGGGAAGCTGTGGCTGCCCCTGGATCCCTGGAAGTGTCCAAGGCCAGGTTGGAGGGGGCTTGGAAAAATCTGGGATAGTGGAAGGTGTCCCTGCCCGTGGCAGGGGATTGGAATAAAATGATCTTTAAKATTCCTTTCCACCCAAACCATTCCGTGATGCTAAGACAGCCAAAATCACCTTTCCCATTACAAACACCACGGGACCTCTCGCTTTTGTGTGTTCATCCCCAAACTCCTGGAGTCACGCCGGGGTAACATTAAAAGGAAAAACAACGCCCACCCGGCCTGCACGGGGTGAAATCACCCGGAAACGGGGCTCCCCAAAATGCAGTATAAAAAACAAAACCCAAAAATAGTTTTTAATCAGCTTTTGCTGGGTTTTTCTTCGTTTGGGATTCCGTTTGGGTGTTTTAGTTGTTTTTGGGTTTGGTTTTAAATTTTTTTTTCCTTAAAGTGGAATTCTCAGCCGCTCGGTAACTTCCAAGAGCCGGAGCCGGGATCGAATCGGATCTCCCGGTACCCCTGGCCCCGCCCCCACCGCCCCGCTTTCTGATAGGCTGAAGCTCTTGTCCATCTTGTTACTCGCCGTTCCATTGGCTGACGCTGGGCGGTGCTGACCAATCAGCAGCGCCGCTGGGCGGGCCGGGGGCGGATTTCCCGCGCGGTGGCGGGAAAGGAGCGGCGTTTGGCGCGAAACGGGAGCGCGCCGGGGGCGGATCGCGGGGTTTGAGTGGATCGCGGGGTCTGATCTGATCTGATCGCGGGACTGCGGGACCAGCCCGCCTCCCCTCGGCTCTCACCGCCTTCCCCGGCAGCAGCAGGAGCGCCAGCGGCGGCGGCGGCGGGATCCGTCCCAGGGCGGCAGCAGCATGGCGGCCCCGGCGGGCGGGCTGGAGGATGCGGAGCTGCGAGAGGCGCAGCGCGACTACTTGGATTTCCTGGATGATGAGGTGAGGCGAGCTGGGAGACTCGGGGGCTGCTTTCTCCTCTCTGTCTCCCGGGATTGGGGGCTGTCTGGTCCGTGTGTCCCCTCCTCCCCTCCGGGAGCATCTCGGGGCTTGGGGAGCATCTCGAACCTATGCGCCCCCGCCCCATGGGTACCCCCGAGGTTTGGGAACATCTGGTCTCTGTGCCCGTCTGTCCTTGTCCAATCCATGTCCCCGGGAGCCGGAAACCGTGTGATCACCCCTGGGGGCCATGTACCCCTGGGGGTTGGGAGCACCTGGTCCCTGTGTCCCCCCATTCCCCCAGGGGTTCGGGAGCCCCTGATTTCCCCCGCCCCATTCCCCCAGGGGTTAGGGAGCCCCTGTGTCCCCCCATTCCCCC